TGTATTTTAAATGATATTTGTGAAATGTGAAATAAACATATTATAATAATGGTGCTAAAGTGTTGCATTTGCAAGTCTATTTACATTATTTAAGATGAGGAACTGAGGAAACGTGTTTGTTTACATTTTAAAACATGTCTCTCATAGGCGTGCCATTGGGTTTATTCATGTTCATTAATGTATTTAATAAGATATAAGTTAATGAAATTAGTATAGACATTTTTAAATTGTAAGTAGACATCATCTGGTTAAAAAATATCTGTTTAGTACTTTTTTAATTTAATATTTCTCATGGATACAAATAAATTAGTGAAATGAATAAAACTCATTTATTTTTCTGTGTAGGTTTCCAAATAATATTGACGATCGAACTATTTGGGTAGCAAATTTAGGAGAAGACATAGAGATTTTTTATTATAGCATTATTTTATACTATTACCTATTAAAAAATTAATTTCAACTATATTTAATTATATAAATTTTAAAGCAAATAAAATTGTATTATGTGTTGTAAATGTTGTAAATTGTAAATGTGCAAATAAAAGACATGATTTGTTAATAGTTAAATTCTCGTTTTTTTTTTAATTCTTTGAACGTGTTTTTATACATTATTACTACTTTCAATTTTTAAAGTCTGAATAATTATCCCCGCGAGTAAAAATTCAAGCACGCTTATGCTCATTGAGGAAGCATCACATTCTATCGAAGCTTTAAAACATTGTGTGTTAAAGGTATCTTATTGCTGTGTCCATCTGTGTTTATACGTCCATGACCTCCGTCCATTAACTGACAATATTATTGTTTTGATGTCATTTTCCATAGCTACGGTTTTGTCAAATATTTTTTTTGTTAAAACTAAATAAAAAACTATAAGGGTAATGTTTTTAATAAATAATACTAAAATTGCCATATTATTAATTAATATGGAAACTTATAAAAATATGCAGAGTATAATTTGTTTATGGTAATCGACTAAAACTGCAAATTCCATAGGTGGGCCAACTGCTCTGGGACGGGTCGCATAATGGCTATTGTGAGGCGCTTAATATCATAAGTTTACTAGATGGTGGGTATCTTGTCGAAATGCAGTTATATTGACTAGGTCCCTTGAGTGTGTGTAAGGTTTGGTGAAGTCTTGGGCTAATCTGATTTTCGAATCTCGTCTGCTACGCACCAGCTTTCTATCAACGGCAGAAACGTGAGGTAGATCTGTTTCCGGGCCATAAGCTCGCCTGGTGCATAGGATTTATAATTAGCCCTGGAAAGCAACGCAAATGCGAATTCTTACCTTTTAAATATCTGCCTTATGATCTTGGGTCTAGTGTAACCTATAATTGAGGTGGTAAAAGTACTCGAGTGAACCAGTTACCGTCTTAAAAATACCGATAAACTGATCCGGCTAACGTTATAATACCAGGTATTGGCATCTTCTCTTGAGGATTCTAGTATCCGTATTAAATAACTTATCAACGCCCAATGAGGGGACTACTCGTGTAGGCGCGCCGCACTGTATGGTGTGTCTCTGTCACATTTATACGTATACGTACTGACGCGAAAAATTCCTAACAAATATTGACATTTCGTTAGCTCAAAATTATACTGTTGTATGTGCAGTAAACTAAGTTTTGAAAAAATGAAAAACAAAAAATGCTTCACTGTAATTGAGAAACGGGTACACCTAGTTTTGTATCGCTATAAAGTTTGCTAGTATAGATGTATTTATTTACATTCAGAAGACAAAGAATATGAAACCAATGTTTTTCTCGAAATTTTTGTAAAACAAAAAACACATACAACTATATAATTTAATTTTATTTATTTAATATACTAACATACAACTTTGTGACGTGGCTTACTATAAAGTTATGTTTACGTGGTATACACACCATACATTATTACATATTGTTTTTGAGGAGTATGGATGTATAATAAGCTTTATCCACTTCTGGCATACACTTAAAAATACTTTTGATGGCCTGAACTTTGTTTTGAGGAAGTAATCCTGTGACTAATGAACGAGTTGGTTCCTTGATAAATTCTTTCTTTTCGCAGTTAGTTCTAGTAGACCGAAAATCGCGGATGGATACTTTCTTCCAGTCACTATGTGCGTGACTCACTTTATATCCCATTTCATATATGGATTGTGAAAATTGTAGTGCAACTACTTGAGTAAATGGTATAATCTTGTGGTTATATTGCAGAGCATACGATTTGAAGTCCTTGAAATCGTTTTCTTTCAACTGCATTATCTTGTAAGTCTTTCTAAAACTCACCTTTAACAGCAACCGTAAAAGAGATAACGGAGAATAATACTCTGCTTCTTTTAAAACTCTCTCTATGCAGCTGTGAACTGCATCTATCTCTTGATTGCACGAATGACCTGGAGTTGAAAACTTCATTATTATGGATTCGATGTTCGAATTCATTTTTAGAAAGGACGCAATCGCTGCAGACATCAGGGAATTTTTGTTTTGTGGTACACAACTATCACTCCACAATACTATCGTTTTCATATTGGGATAATTTCTAAAAACAGCTTCTAGAATTTTGATCAATGCACTTGCTATATCGTTGCCGCTTCTACCCATAAGAGCTTCACTCCACAAGGCACAGTACACTTGTTTCGTTTTGGATAATATTGCAGTTAAATTGTAAACATTTAACTTACTTTTATAATAAAAGTTACTTACTTCAGCATGAGGACAGCTCAAGATATTTTGTAAGTCAAACACCAAAAAATTATTGTGAGTTTCTCTATCTTTCGTTTTTTCTTCACGAGCCGCATTCTTTGCTTGTATATGCTGATCATACACTGTTGATTGTTCAGCCTATAATAATATACCTTCCTTATGTTTTAGTTTGATCTCTTCACATAGATCACAACGATCTTTCTTAGGTACATGAAAATAAATATTGTAGTCATTGCAAACTAGTTGCCGTTAAAAAGACTCTTTTACTGGTCAAGATTATACATTTTTTTAATACTCAAAGATGACTGTAAGTACCATCGTTGTGTATTAGCTCTACAGTAGTGAGATTCTACTGCAGGGAATGATTTTTCTTAGCAAAATTGACATCTTCAGGTATCTTATATTTTATTTGTTTTCCTTGGGCTGGTATATCAGGTGTATTTGAAGTAATGTCCTTTTTCAAATTAGCTGTGTATACAGGGGTTTGACTGATTGATAAGGTGCTCAAATAAAAGGTTTTACAGACCTTAATTTCTCGACTGCCTATTTGAAAGTAATAATTAAATATCTGTTTTCTTCTGCTGTTTTGATCATTTTTATTTGTTCTATATCGTTCTACAATGAATTTTTTTGAGGTTGCGAATAGAAATAATCTCTTTGCATGTTCTGTTAAAGTGTAAAAACGCTGAATAATCTGTCCCCTTTCATCTTCTGTAATAAGTTGCTGGCATTTATACAAACACTTAGATGTACAGTCTTTTATTGTTTTTATTTTTTTGGCTGGAAGAACTTTTCTTCTAACAGATATGTATTCTTTTCCTGCGTCATGTGCCGCTTTCCTAATACTACCTTTCCAAATACTTGGGTTCCTCTGTCTTTTGCGAGTTGGCGTTTTGGATAACTCGATTTGAGTAGTCACATCTTCGGTTCTATTTGCAACTGCAGCAACAATGGGTTTTTCAGCATCGCTATTAGAATCGCTAAAGTCTTCTCCACAAACAGGTGGTACATATTCCCTGTCCCTATCTAAATCATAACCATGGCAGTCTATGAAGTCTTCATATCCAAGAGACATGTCAGTTTCTTCATTTTCATCGTCAGTAGGGTATATATTATCTATAGTTTCAGTGAAACCCTGTACTTCTATTTTTCGAACTGTGCTAAAATAATTAAATTTGTTTGAAATTTCCTTAACATATAAAATAAATAAGGAAAAACTTACTCTAAATCTTTTAAGTTTTCATTTTTAGAATCTGAATTCGCATTAGTCAATTTGCAATCCATTACAAATAATATAAGAGTGAAGCTTAAAGTCACAAAAGTTAGCAAAACATTTTTCTGAAAAGATAAAAACTAACCTCACTTTTTTATTTTTGGTATTTCAAGTTTCAATTACTCCTTATTTTAGAAATATAAATTAATTAAATTGTTCAGAAACCCTATCCACACACAATTGAATCGATTACTCACAAAAAGTACACATAAGTTTATAGTTTCCCGGTATTTCAATTGTTCATACATCTATCTGTCATAACAAACTACTATTGTAACAAAAATGTATGTGCGTAATACTCAGCTGCTTAAAATGCAAACGTAAAATAACAAAGTTGTATGTGACAAATACAACTAAGTTACTCTAAATCAAACAGTTTTATAGATTTGCCGAGGTGTAGCTGATACATACAACTATGTAACTTTAATAATTAAAATTCATCGTAATAGAACTATGTATTTCTGGTTGGTAAACTCAAAGGATGTGATATAGAATACTAAAATTCTCTGAAAGCAAAGTCTAAAATACATACGACTTAGTAATACCATAAAACCGATTTTGCAAAAAATGTTACATACAACAGTATAATTCTGAACTAACGATTTATTAAAATTTTTTAAACTATTATTAATGTAGTTGTTTTTGTAATTTATTATTATCGTAAATAATTTTGTAATTTTTTGCTCAAAATTGTTTCAATTAACAATTAAAACACAAAAGTATAAATTGAAATAAGCTTTGATTACTCTTCAGAATCTTGAAACTGAATGTTGAAATTTCAATTTAGGCACTTGCCAACCTCAAAAAAATCTGTTTTTTTTTTCGCATTTTTTAATATTAAACCGCTTATTACTCAAAAACTGTCGACTTTACAGAAAAATCACAAAAAACCTTTTTTGTTTAGAATTAAACTGTAAACTTATTTTGTGGAATAAAAAAGGTGGTTTTTGTAATTTGTTTAAAAAAATTTCTGCCCAAATATTTCATATACATATCAACATAATTTTTATTGTTTGTGAATAAAATAAAAATCAGAATAAATATAGCTATATTTTATTTACAACCTTAAAATTTAATATATTGTATAAGGTTCTATTATACATCTCTCTCGTATTTCTTTTACTTCCAGAAAGTTTCTTGGATGAGTTTTTATTTCCAGGGTTTCATTAATATTTAGATATTGTAAATTTTTTGGTTCAACTTCAGGCCACATAATGCTGCCATCATGAAATGGTGTAGGGTTTCTAAAATAAAAAAAAATAGTTATCAATTATTTTTGTTTTCTGTATACGACTCCAACAATACAACCATAGGACATTAGTTTTCTTAAGTCAGAAAAAGAGTTATTAAAGTTTTAATGAAAACACTGATCATGCGTGCCAGATATTTTAATAATTTCTACACACCAATTTAAGTAAAAACAAGAAGTTAGTTACAAGTAACCACTTCGCTACCAAGTATCCAACGGTGGATACATTAGGATAGCTGTTCTACATACCAGTGAATCCATATGTGGATACTGTAGCGTTTACGCTACTGATTAGTCCAATAATACAAGTTAAAAATTGTATTAAATAAAACCCCTCAAGAAATTTCTTATAACACGCCCGCGATCGATTTTTAAATCGACATTTTTCCACACACGCGCAGCAGTCACTTTGAAAGGACTGTTCGTGAGAAAATTTCACTGATTGGCGTGTCTGCGTTGAGTTCTGACCAGAAATTAACGGCTTCCGCACAGACTCGACCAATTTTCCTTTCAAAGCGACTGCTGCGCGTGTGTGGACAAATGTTGATTTAAAAATCGATCGCGGGCGTGTCATAAGAAATTTCTTGAGGGGTTTTATTTAATACAATTTTTAACTTGTATTATTGGACTAATCAGTACCGTAAACGCTACATTTATTTTGTGTTGAGAATCTGGTATTAGGTCATAGAAAATCACATTTTTAACTAACAAATGTTTGGCGTTTCGATTTCCACTCCGGAAATCCTTTTCAAAGAAGATTATCATACAAGTTCTGGGAAATGTATGTAAAAAAGACCCAACCAAATAAATGAAAATCATAATATATAAAACACTGCATAAAATTACGGAATACCTGACGACTGTCAGAAGAATAGACAACACCACATAGTGACAAAAAGAATATTAACACCACATTATGGCAGAATACGACACTTACACGGAGTTCCGAAAATTTACAACATCTTTTATTAAAAAGCCACAATATTTTATACAAAAACTAGCAGAAATTAATTATAATTCTTAACAATTGACTAGTTAGTTTAGATAGTACCGATCTTTTCACCAATAAATTATTAGAAAAAACTTTAAAAACAATAAAGGGAAACCTAAAGAGGGATTATACAATGTCAACAAAAACCAAACAAAATTTATCACCTACCACGGAGCTACTAATATTTTGCACAACACTTATTTTTAACTAGATAATGCTTTCTATAAGCGAAATTTCGGATAAGTCGTGGGCTCATCCTAATCTATTTCTATTCTCTATCTATTATTAGCAGATATATTTATGGAAGATTTGTAACATAACATTTAATACAATCAAGACAGAAAAACTCACTGTATTGTAGATATATGTAGATGATGTATTCTCCATTTGGCCTGACGGACTAGAATCATTGAATAAATTTCTGATGGACGTCAACAATAAAGAAGAATCAATAAAACTCGCCATGAAACAAGAAAACAATAGCTCACCTCTTTTTTAAGATCTGCTAATTACAAAAAAATACACAATACCTACTAAACCAGACCCTCCTCTGTCATCAAGCGAATATTAACTATAAATTTTTAGATCCCTGGCTTAATTTCCTCCTCTGTCCTCTTGTTCCTTTTTCTTCATCACCCCAGAAATCAGACAGTGTACTTCTCTCCATTCTTTCTCTCTTCTCAACATTATGTTTACAATCTTTCTTTCATCCAGCCCGAAACCTATTCGCCTCTCGAAATCTCCCATCTCATTTGCCCATCTGTGCCAGTTAAAAATGTCGGCAATAGCATCTGGTATCGCACAGTATAGTCTGCCAAGTCATATTTGCCTATTCTATTTGTGAAGGTGCCAAAACTACCATGTCAGGTCAGAAACTGCGTCAGGAAGTAGTCTAGTTTCCTGAACTTACATTCCCACCACGGTCTCAAATCGGGAATAATATTCCCGATTCTATTCTCTCTGCCACTCTACTATCGTCCTTTCTCTTTATTCTCATGTATATTTACATCCATCCTTCTTGCATACATCCTCGCTCGCTCTTTACACAACAAACCGATCGGTATCACCGCTACAATGACATATAGAGTCCTATTCGAGACTGTCCTATATACACTAGACACCCTGAGAAGCATTCGCCTTCGCTAAGTCTTCATCAGCTTAGCGTATTTTGCAGTGTTTAGTACACTACACCACACAGGGGCAGCGTAGGTTACTACTGACTGGAAAACTCCATTTAGCACCTTTCTTTTGGTGATTCCTATGCCTTCAATGTTTGGCATCAACCGTATCAACGCTTCCAGATTTCGGTTTGCCTCCTCTACTGTCTTTTGGATGTGTACTCCGAACCTTAAACCTTCCGACAACCAGACTTCCAGATATTTAATTGGTGCAACCTCCACACCTTTTACTATAAAGCGAAGAGAAGATCTTTCCCGTGTCCTTTGAGAACTAACACCTCAGTTTTCTGAGGCGCTAGCTGTAGATCGTTCTCTCTGATCCACCTACTAATGCGACGCAGGACTATCTTAGCCGCATTAGCCATGTCCGTTTTCTGACTCGCTCTCGCAACCAGTGTGAGATCATCAGCATAAGCTACAAAAGTGCACCCCTTGGCATCTGTAGCCTCAACACCCCGTCGTATAGGATATTCCACAGGTTGGGACCTAGTACTGAACCCTGTGGAACACCCTGCGACAAACTGATGCTTGTATTGACCAAGTATTTTGTACATTGTAATTACGTTGATCAAGTATTCACTAACGCCCAATTCTCTCAGTCTGGACATGATTTTTTCCCGTGATGCCGTATTAAAGGCATTCTTGACATCGAGCAGGATGAGAGTCGCCCATTTCTTTGTATCCTGCGTAACTAAAGCGGTTACTTCTGTGACCGCATCTATGGTGGACTTTTTGGCCCTAAAACCATATTGGCGATCGCTCAGGGCACGCTTTTCTTCTAGCTCTCGCTCAAGGCGGCCTTTTATAATCTGTTCGTACAATTTAGTATGCATTTATGCATTTAATTATGCATTTAATCTTAGTAATTTTAATTTAAGTTGGTTACTGAGTTTTCAAAGTTTAGCTTTAGTTACCTATTGTAATTAAGAATTTTTGTGTTGTGCTAGTAAAAACACTAAACATGGTGAATTATTGTATTGTTCCGTTGTGTACAAATCATGAAAAATTGTATATCTATACCTAGAAAACATTGTGCATTTTTTATATATCCTTTTACTTTTTTATATGTGAGAATATTTCATCGGAAAATAGTAAAATATTTTCCAGTAAATTTTAATTAGTAACGAAATAGCCCGCAAGAGGCGCTAAAGGTTATGTATGTAAGGGGTGTCCATTTGAATTTTCCGTCAAAAGAAGATTAGTAATGACCCCAGCCGCAAGGGGTCCTAATGAACAAAATTTATACATTGAGATCCTATCTATTTCGAATATTACATTATTTAGGCAAAGAAATAATAAATAAGACTTATTCACAATCAATTTAATTTAACTATTCAGACGACCGGTTTCGCTTTCTACAATATGCAAAGCGTCTTCAGGTCTCGATACAAAGTTAAATAAATGCTGAAATAATAAAAACCCATATTAGGGTGTTGTCTAATAAAGATAAACAAATTAGATGTTTTAAATTACAATAATTATGCCAATATTACATGTCTGTGGTTTTTCAAAATAAATAAAAAGGAATAAAAAGGTATAAAAAGTTTTAACAGACAAGGTAAGCCCCACAAATTGTTATAAAATAGTCTATTAAATTGTAATAAATTAATAAATGAGCAAAAAATAAACATTACTTACATGCCGGTACTCTATTAATTGATGAATGGTAGAACATGGTTGAAACTATCCTGTATTGTTAAATGGAGAACTTACATGACTATTTTTAACTAATTGTTAAAAATAGTATTAAGTACAGAGGAGGAAGTGTTTCTTGTGGAGCATTATATTCGCTCATACGGAATTGGCCAACGTAATAGTGCAAGTCTGCAGTACGTGTGTGACAATTCACACAACGGTTTAATAAACGTTCACCAAGTAATGCCGTAATTTTGTATGTTATTGAAAAGTTTAGAAATACAGGTAATGTATTGTGCCCATGAAAATAAAACTCAGGGCATCCTAGGACAGTTAACAACAACGATAACCATGAACGTGTTTTTGATCGAATATTAAAAAATCCAAAAGCCAGCCAGTCAAGAACATCATTGCATCTTGGCTTAAAACGAACTTTCTTGCAGAGAATCCGAAGGAGCTGGCTACATTTTCGTATGTGATTCAGGTACATCAATAATTACATCCCAGGGATTATCATAGTAGAGTGGACTATTGTGTCAGAATCCTTGCATTATAGTATAAAAATCCTGAATTTTTGAAAAATGTACAGTTTTCAGACGAAGCACATTATCAGTTCTCAGGCCATGTAAATCGTCGCTTAAATCGATTTTTGGGCTTTGTCATACCAGATGAAGTTACTTTACATAACCCAAAAGTGTATGTCAAGACACGGAATCATTGGTCCATACTTTATCGAAGAAAATGGTAGGCAAATCACACTTATATCAGAGGTACACACAAATTTTAATTTGTATACGTCAATAACGTCAATTTTGTGGTGAAAGTAATTTGGCATTTCGAGACCAATTTTTCCAGCAGGATGGGCAACTTGCCATACTGCTGTCGCAGTTCGTCAATTTCTTTAGAGACATTTTCCAAACAAATTCATTTCACGATTTACTGACTTCCCCCATATCCTGTACATTCTCCAGACTTAACATCTCCGGATGCATACATTTGAGGCATGGGTAAACCTGCCGTTTTTAAACGGGCACCACAAACTATTTATGAGTTAAAGGATACCGTTACAGCCTTCGTCGCAGACTTGAGACAACCTTTATTCCATAACATTACGAGAAATCTAGAATATCGTTATGAAGTTTGTCTTAAGAGGGTAGGAGCTCATTTAGAAGATGTTATAAAGTGTGAATAATATCTATTTTTTAAAACAATAAAATAATTACAAGTTCAGTACTGTTTATTTTGGGCTATACCGTATTTAGACTTCTATAAGTAACAGTTCTTGTGTCAGTAATACTTCTTGTAATAGTAGAGATAACAAGGATCGGTACATATATATTTTTTAAATTTTTTTTATAATTATTCACTATTTTTTATATTTATAAGTTTCCTAGTAGTTTTGTTAATTTTCTTAGTTATGTATTTAGGTATGACAATTTAGCTTAATTTACTTTTATGTAAATGTGACCATAATCACAACTTTGTTGATAAGACCATAATCAGTAGTCGATGAAAAATAAAAATATGAAAAGTATAATTTTTTTAATCACTAAAAAGTTTCTAAAAAGGTTTATAAAGTAAAATTCACATCTATTATTCCCATGGTGTATTAAAAACGAATAATCTAAACCTGCTTTTAATAGAGAATAACTGACACTTACTGGTTTTTAATGAAGTTTGTCCAAAATGTCACAAGAGTGCTACGGAATTGTTCATTAATCACTACAGGAAGAAATTGTATATTCCACAAGTACATTAACTCTTCTGCATGTCCAACATGCTCCGTACCTTAAACATGTAAACATTGGATGTTTAAAAAAATATATAAAAAAATAAACATTAGTATCAGAAATCTGAATTATTGAATAACACTATTTTCATAGATATAATCAACATTATTAATTAATTTATTACAATAAATGCCCATGCAGCCATGCTTTCCGCTCTGTTGCTTGCTGCGCTGGAACATCGTCAGAAAACTGTCACTATCACTAATTCTAGAACCTAAGGACCCTCAAGCTAGCGGGAACACATGAGCGGAATCCAATTTAACCTATGTAATATTTTTTCACCCATTTTTCACTAATTTATTATCACCCTAATAATTTTTCACCACCAAACCAACCTTAAGGGGAGCGACTCTGCTGGCTTAAGGTTCAATCTAGTGGAATTCAAAAAAAAAACTTTTTGTTGATGGCATATTCTTTCACCCATTTTTCACTAATTTATTACCACCCTAATAATTTTTCACCACCAAACCAATCTTCAGGAAAGCGATTCTGCTGGCTTAAGGTTCAAGCTATAAAGATGCTGTTAGTTAAGTGTTAGGTTTTTACTAAACTTTGACCACCCTGTTAATTTTCCATTCCTAAACCAATCTTATTCGGAAACGTTCCTGTTAGTTTAATATTCGAACAAGCGAAATTTAAAAAAAAATATATTTTTTAAATACCACAGTGTTTTTACCACAATTTATTACCACCCTAGTAATTTTTTACCCCGTAACTATTCCTTATGATAAGTCAATATTTCTGTTAGATTAAATATTAACGTAAAAAAAATCTTTTTTTTACATTTCACTGTCCTCTACTTATAACTGACATAAAAAAGTATTCTGTTAAGTTTTTACTAAACTTTGACCACCCTGATAAGTTTTTATCGAATTTTTGACCCCTAAGCCCCAGTTAATGGGAAACATTCAACAAGCTACACATTGAGGCTAGGTGAATAAAAAATCTTTTTGGAAACACAAGAATGCTCTGCTAGATTTTTACTATATTTTTCGAGCCTATTCAAATCGAATCGTTAGTCCCTTTTATGAATAAAAAATACCTGAAATCAAGTTGAGTTTTGGTTAATACAATGAAATTTTTATATTCCACAGAATAAATTACCAGGTAAGAAATATTCAAATTGAAATAATTTTTTTTATTTAAACATAGAGAAACCACATCAACCACCAAGGGTTATTAGTGGGGGGACATACACAGTAGTACAGTATGATAAATTAAAGTTTATTATAAATGTTTATGTCTTTTAGAAACTGCAATAAATCCGAGATATTTCTCGTAAGCGCACTTCTCAGGTTTCCTCTAATTCCTCGGCATGTTTTCTGAGCTTGGAACTGCGGACAGTCGACTATCAGATGCTTCACGGTGAGTTGAGTAGAGCAGTAGGTACAAATTGGAGCTGGTTCTTTATTTAGGAGGTGTTGGTGTGTTAGTATTGTGTGGCCGATTCGAAGACGATTTACGATTACTTGATCTCTTCTTTTTCCTTGTTGTGGTAGGCTGGCGTCTACTCGAGGCTTTATTTAATAATTTTATTACCTCTATTACATTATTTAACTAATTGTAAAGGAGGGTCGGGACCGTGCTCACCTTTTGTTAGAAGATTAAAATATTTGTATTCATTAAGTACATGAAAATTTGAAAAATAATTTAGTTATTTAATATTTTGATATTATTAAAATAAGAAGAGTATTAACGATTGGTCAAAACATACTTTTAAAATTAGGTGTACAGCATAAAGAAATTATATTGGAAAACATTTTAGGATATAAATATTTTAAGTAAGTATATTCAAATGAGACGGAAATTACCGGTTGGTCAGAAGAACTGGTATAGATTATTTGCGTCGTAAAATAAATTTATATTAGCAGCATTTTAAAACCTTAAGATATTTCTATTTTAATTCTTTGTCGATTTTTCATTCATTGTCAGTTGAATATAGGTAAAATTAAAAGGTATTACAAAAAAAATATTAACCTCATTATTTTGTTTATGGAAATGTTTGAAAGAATCGTCCAAGGAGAGATCTGGTTTCTCGTGACAATTCACACACTCATAAATTTGGTTGTTGCTTATTTTTAGGATAGGACATACTCTGCATCTTTTCGTTTTAGTTTCGCTTTTGTCCGATTTATTAGCAATTATTTATAGGTAAATGTTCGCGTGCGATATTCCGTCTTTCTTTGCTTTTTTAATAATTTATTTACGAATTAATTCTAAACTTGATACCGTCTTTTATGCCTTTGTTGTTTAATATATTGTTTCAAGCTAAGTCTAACTTTCCACGGTACCATCGATTCATCTAGTGATAATTTTTTTACTGAATAATCCAGAGCAGTCATTTTATTATTGAAAAGTCTATGACTGTTCTTGTTCTGTAAAATCGATCTACACGAATAACATTAGGTCTTATTGGATTATGGATGAAGTGTAAGCACCTTAAAATTAAAAGAAAAAGATCTCTGCCGATGTTCTGCAAAAAATATTTTAAGTTGAATAGTGGATCTGTTTTCCAATAACCCTCCAATCTTGAAATCCGTGTGTCAGTTTGAACGATAATTCCCAAAAATACTAGAAATTCAAATAACGAAAGTAATTTACATCTTTAAATGCTAGAATTTTCACAAACACCAACTTCACCAACTTTTTTATATGCTAAATTGTGCAATATTGTTGTTTTGTAAATTGCCTATTTTTTAATAAAATTTTACAACTTGCCATACTAGGGTTATAATAAATTCGTAAAAACCTAGCAGAACACTGTGGTATATCATAAATATTTTTTTAATTCGGAAACACACTGAAAAAACATATGTCATCAACAAAAAGTTTTTTTTTTAATTCTGCTAGCTTGAACCTTAAGTCAACAGAATCGCTCTCCTTAAGGTTGGTTTAGTGGTGAAAAATTATTAGGGTGGTAATAAATTAGTGAAAAATAGATGAAAAAAATGCCATCAACAGAAAGTTTTTTTTTAATTGTGCTAGCTTGAACCTTAAGCCAGCAGAATCGCTCCACTTAAGGTTGGTTTGGTGGTGAAAAAGTTATTAGGGTGGTAATAAATTAGTAAAAAATGTGGGTGAAAAAATATTACGTAGGTTAAATTGGATTCCGCTTATGTGTCCCCGCTAGCTTAAGGGTCCTTAGAACTTAAGGGTGTTTTATTGATGCACCAAAAGCTAGTGACAGTGTTTTCTCTGTTATTTATCGATAAAATGTCTCGAAATTTGCACACGTTTTTTGAAATTATGTTGGCTTTAAAATGATGGTTTTACTTTTTTATTTTTTTTACACTTTTGTTGAAAAATTGGATTATACTGTTTAACGTTCTATTATAACCAAACTTCTTACGCCCATCACGTAAATGATCTTTTTTATGTAATAAGAAATACTAAAATCTCATAGTGAAACGTGTTACTCATTATTGGCACAGTTTTATCGTTATCGCCTTCGTGATGTCAAATCTCATGAACGTACGGTCAGTTAGTTCGTGTTAAAACTAATTTGAATGGAGAATAATGCATTTGTTGTCATTAAACTACCCTTCGGCCGGCGCCACTGAGTAAAGATGGTCTGGAGTAAGCAGTGTAGAAAAGTAAGTGATACCGCCCATTCCAAGTCGCAGTGTGCTTTGACTGCTAAAACAGCCTTAAGTAAGATTGCCCTTTACAACAGAAGAATAAGTTTTCAAATATTTTACCTGATACATTTAAGAATTGCTTTCCATATGCAAATTGGTACATATAAACTGGAACAAATTGTGAGGTCAGCTGTGCTTGTCGTGTTGTGGGATGAATGTAACCAGCATCACTACTATACTAAAAATGCAATAAAATATAATTTCAATTAATCACATATGTTTTACATATGTGACTTAAAAATCACATATTGAAACAGTATTTTTTTATAATAGTATGTCAAAATCAATGTTACAGCGATAGTCAGTACAAACTTAATTTTTATAAAAAATGGATAAGATTGCTTTGGAATGAACCTACTCGTTTTATTGTTAAATACTTTACAATACATATAACTTACTTTTACAAACGCAGCTTTGTTTTGCGCAAATGGTACTTCGGTATAAATTTTCTTCCAATCTTGAACTACATCTTTTACTTCCTCTCCAAGAACATTTAACTTCTTCGATATCATAAGTTCGGGATGCTCATCAAATTGTTTCACACTTTTCTCATATTTATCATCAGCCATTCCTACAAAAATGAATATTAAGAAACTCTGGTATTAAACTTGCATAACAAGTAAGATTGTATTAATATATCTGAATGAATGATTATTCATTTAACTTAGTTTCATAAAATTAAGGCTAACTCTGGAAAAAACTAAGCTTTTAAAAATAAACGACGAAGAAGGATGCGTTTCGATTTAGTTTGAGTCTCTTACCACTCACTGACACCTGTTTCTGGGTCTACCCGTCATCAGAAGGAGTATTTAGGAAGACTCAAACCAAATCAAAACGCACCGACTACTCTGGCACTTACAGGAAAATAACTACCAGAGTATGCTACTAGAGACCTCTAGTGAGGAAAGATGAAGTTAAATACGTCGATAGCAATTAAAGTAAACTGTATACCCAAGATTAGTCAAGCCATTTAGAGTGGTGCTGGGAATAATTATATTCCACTATGCATCAACAATTTACCCATATAAATTACCATCATTCTTGTACTCATTGCGTCGAGTAAGGACGATAAATATACAAAAAGGTTGCGTTTCGATTTAATTTGAGTCCCTTACTACTCCCTGACACGTGTTTTTGGGTTTACCCGTCATCAGAACGAGTTTGTAAGAAAACTCAAACCAAATCAAAATTAAAAATATATTTTTAAATGTAGAAGTTATTTAAATTAAAGGTAGTTTATACCACTATTTAATCTAATATAATATTAGATTAAAAATCTCAAATATTTAAATGTATTCACTTACAAAAATTCGCAGAGAACAGAAACGGTAAGATAAAGACTGCTCGCCTCACATCCTTACGCAAAGACTGCTCTGCCAGAAGTAATCTTTTTTCTCTGAAAATTTACCACACTACCCAAAAAACGGGTGGGGTAACTCCCACTTCAAAATGACAGGCCAGCCTGTATGTATTTCTTGGTAGAAAAAAAGGTTCTAACGAATATCAAAAATAACGAAACCCTTCTAGCTAGGACGTGATAAAATATAAATCCTTTTGGATTAGGTTTTTAGAGAAATATACAGTATCAAAACAAAACCCAGCCTTAAACCGGAAAAATATTAACTAAGAATTAACCCAACCGTTGTCTTTTGATAAGTAAATTTGTCCACAATTTGGGGTAGTCGGTAAATTGCAATAAAATTTCATAATCGTAAACACGACCACCCGCGTATATTTATCTAATCTATCTAATTAGAGATCTTCGGTCCATCTTTGGACATAGGCCTCTCCAATCCTTTTCTATTCTTCTCTGTCTGTCGCTACAGTCATCCACCTAGAGCCCACGTGTTCTTTGATATCATCTGCCCATCTTATTTGGGGTCTTCCTCTGCTTCGTTTATATTCCCACGGTCTCCAACTTATAAGAATTTTGTTCCATCGGTCTTCTTTTTGTCTTATATTGTGTCCGGCAAATCTCCATTTCAATTTTGCAACTTGTTGTCTACCATCCCTCACTTTTGTTTTTTCTCTTATCCACTTGTTTCTCTTTTTATCCATTAGTCTTATGTGCAACATTTGTCTTTTCATTGCTCTTTGGATTTCTATGATTTTGTCCATGTTTGCTTTTGTAATTGTCCACGTTTGGGAACCATAAGTAAGAATAGGGAGTACGCATTTATTGTATACTTTGGTCTTAAGATGCTGTGGATATCTTTTGTTTTTAAGAATGTAGCTTAGTTTGCCAAATGCCACCCGCCTATATATTATTTGCAAATACGGTCTTCGCCGTCTCAGCAACAGGGGTAAAGGGATTAAAAATTATTTAATTTTTTAATTATCAAAAAAATGCTACAATATATATTAGATGTTTTTCTCATATATTATGTCAGTAACTTTTTCAAATAAATTTATAAATTTTTTTCACAAGAGCAAAGGGTACAACTGTGTGCATATTACTTCAGCTTACCAGACTATATACGAAACAAAAAATGCAGTCTGTTTAATTAAAAAAAAAGTTTGATTAATTGACGGTTTACGAATTTATATTACATGCATTATTAAATAATCTAAAAATGCTTACTTACCAATTAAAAATGTTAATGATTCCTCTGAGTTAAAACCGATAAGAGAAGGTACCCTAAGAAAATTTCCCTTCATAAAATTTTCTTGCATGGGTCCAGTTACATAAGCATCAATACTACTGCCACTTTCAATAATGGGCTTCCAATAATCACCATTCATAAAACCTAAGAGTTCGTCCGAATGCATCTACAAAATACTTGAAAAATTCTAAAAAATATTTAGGGCAACTAAATATAAAAATCAATTTTCCCTGTATGTTGACGATATTATATATATATATATATATATATATATATATATATATATATATATATATATATATATATATATAACTTCTCGTGCTCAAATCGGTGTTAATAGAGTGCCTGTTTCATCAGACACTTGAGCTGATACAAAATCAAACTTGAAAAGTGAAACGAATGTCTCCTAAAACTTTACGACTGGAGTCTTTAACATACAGAGGTGACATCAACTTTGGTAGACATGAACGAAAACGATTTAATAATATCGTTTTCTCTCTTCTGGGCTATATGAAATATGTAAGAGATTAAATCTTTTAGTAAAAGCTGCCATCGTTTTGTTAAGTTGAACGTTCAAATGTATTGCCTAAGAAGAGAAATTCGATAAAATTTCCGAGCATAAATAGGTATCAATAAAGTGTTATGACTGCTGCTGAGTGTTCAGCAGTTCTGCTTCATCAGACACTCAGGCTGATACAAATTCAAGCACGGAAGTTCCAACGAAGGTCTCCTAAAACTTTACCACTGCAGTGGTTAGCGTACAGAGGTGCTATCTACTTTAGTGGCTATAAAAATTCATTTTCATTCAAAAATTAGTTCTTCTAAAATTTTAACTTTAAAATCGGACGGATTATTTCAGAATGTAAGGGCACAGGATGAACCGATTTCCATGGAAACAATAAGTCTTAGTACTTAAAAGAAATTGTAACCAACATTCTCTTCTTTTTCTTCTTCTTCTTCCTACTTTATAAATAGGGTTAATGCCTGTTTTACTTCGGTTTTTAGCCTCAGTTAACGTTGTCTGACCATCTTTTCCTCGGTCGTCCAAATGGAAGAAGATCATTGATCTTCTTCCATTTGGGGATTTGTCTCTTGCTATTCGTACTATTCTATTTTCTGTCATTCTTTCAATGTGTTGATTCCATTCCACTTTTGTTCTTTTAGTGCACGTGTTTATTTCCTCTATACCACATCTCGCTCGTATTTCCTCACTTCTCACTCTGTCTCTTAGAGTTTGCTTTGTTATTTTTCGTAAGAGTGTTGTCTGTTGTTTCCAGCAGTCTTTGTGTTTGTCAGAAACATTGTCGAAAATTATAAAAAAAAACTGGGATACAATATGAGCATCTAACTTTATTTTCTGGATTCCTACATGGACTATTTTCTCGAAAATCTTATCAGCGAGGAATAGGGGCAGAAGTTCCTTCGAGACATAATAGAGATGGAGAAACATTACAAAAAATATGGGATATAAGAAGGATGGCTGATTACTGCTGTAATTGTAACTCAAGCTTGCAGTGTAATTTTTTATAAAATATAGTTCAATATGGTTAATAATACAGTTATAAAATTAATATGTTCTCACTATTTTTCAAATAAGACTACGTACTTTAAAAAAAACTAAGTACATATCCATGATCAGCACACCCTCATTACTATACGACATCTTTTATACTTAAAACAGTTTATTATAAAAAAATGTGTATTTGTGTTATTTTTCTTTTTACGAAACGAATTGTTCTTTGTTTCTTTAATTTTCAACATACGAAGACAACAAAGGTTTTTTCTGTATACCTAGTTTCTTTATTGTATAGTATCATCATCATCAATCAGCCAATCGCGTCCACTGCTGGACATAGGCCTCCCTCAGTTCTTTCCAGTGTTCTCTACACTGGGCCGCTTGTAGCCAGTTTCCCGCTACACGTTTAATGTCATCGGTCCATCTAGTCGGTGGTCGTCCTCGGCTTCTTGTATAATTTCTGGGCCTCCATTCCATAATACGTCTTGTCCACCGTCCATCTTGTGTTCTGGCTAAGTGCCCTGCCCAGTTCCACTTAAGCGTAGTGGTTCTTTCGATGACGTCTTGAACTCCTGATCTTCGCCTAATTTGTTGGTTTGTTATGTGGTCTCGAAGGCTCACGTTCAGCATTGCACGTTCCATGGCTCGTTGTGTAACTCTAAGTTTATTCGCAGATTTTTGCGTGAGTGTTAATGTCTCTGCTCCATAAGTTTGTACAGGTAATACACATTGGTTATAAACCTTTCGCTTGAGACACATGGGAATTGAACTTTTTAGAATATGGCTTAATTTGCCAAATGCTGCCCATGTTAGACCTATTCGCCTCTGTATTTCATGTGTTTGATTGTCTCTGCTTATTTTGATTTCGTGTCCCAGATATTTGTAAGTGTCTGTTTGTTGTATGGTATTATTGTCAATAGTTATATTTCCACTCATTACGAGATTTGTTAAAATTTTAGTTTTCTCAAAGTTTATCTTTAATCCTGCACTTTCAGACAGACTTTTAAGCGAATGCATCATAGAAACCGTATCTTGTAAGTTATCTGCGATTAATACAACATCATCTGCAAACCTCAGGTGATTTAATCTTTCTCCATCTATATTGATGCCCATATCTTGCCATTGAGTACCCTTAAATATTGACTCTAGAGCTGCCGTGAACAATTTTGGTGAAATATTGTCTCCTTGTCTAACTCCTCGACCTAAGCTGAATTTTTCTGTGTCTTCGTGCAGTCGTATACTTGATGTAGCGTTCTGATAGATGTTTTTGATTAGTGTCGTGTACCTGTAATCTATTCGGCTTTGATTTAGGGCTTCCAGTATTGTTTCAAACTCTACAGAATCAAAAGCCTTCTCGTAATCGACAAATGCAAGAACCAGTGGTATGTTGTACTCGATGCACTTTTCTATTAATATCTTTATGGTATGCAAATGGTCATTTGTGCCATATCCTGCCCTGAAGCCTGCCTGTTCTTTGGGCTGATAGAAATCAAGTTTAGGTGTTAGCCTCTTTGTTAAGATTTTCATAAAGAGTTTGTACATATGTGTCAAGAGGCTGATGGGTCTATAATTTTCTAATTTAGTAATATCGCCTTTTTTGTGTAACAAGACTATTACTGTATTGTTCCAGTCTTTTGGAATCGTACCCGCATGTAAGCATTTAGTAAACAGTTCGCTTACTGATTTTAATAAAATTTCTCCACCTGCTTTTATTGCCTCGATAACGAGTCCGTCATCACCAGGCGATCGATGGTTCTTCATTTCCTTTAAAGCAGCTCTTACTTCTGACACAGTAATGGTTAAAAGTAATTCCGATCCCTGATTTATGAGAGTCTTTACTCGTGTCGGGAAATTGTCTTGTGGTCTTTGGCTGGTATAGAGGTCTTTATAAAATTCTCTAGTTATTTTCAGAATATTTTGTTTATCTGTTGTTGCCTTTCCGTCTTTATCTCTCAGCTTGTATATTTCTTTTTTACTTTGCGTAAGTTTTCTTTTCATTATCTTTAAACCTTTGTTCTCTTCTACTGTTTGAGTAATTACATTAGTATTATATCTTCTTACATCTTTTCTAATTTCCGCTGAAATTCTTTTATTTAGTTTTTTATATTCTTCTTTGTTTCCCTTTTCGTTCTCGCTTAGGTTTCGTCGTATTTCCATGAGAGCCCTTGTATCTTTGCTAATCTTTTCACTTTTGGTGTCATTTTTCTTGCAAAATTTGAGTTGTGCGTTTCTAACTGAGTCTGTTATTAATTTATTGTGATCGTCGATACTTAGAGGTTTGGGATTATTACTCTGTAAAGTTTCGGCTATATTTCTTATGTATGCTTCTGGATGATTTGGTGAATTCCAAACTATGCGTTTGCAACTGTTTATCATCTTTGCTCGTTCTTTTTGTAGATTAATCGTTACTTTAGCTCTTACTGGTCTGTGGTCGCTTCCTACTGATAGTTTATTGAGTACAGTGACATCTTGAATAATTTGTATAGTATGTTTATGTACAAATAGAAATACTTACATTAGACTGAGTTTCTATTAAAGTTTCTACTGGAGTTTTCTGTAAAAGTTCCAGTAAATCTTGAGAGCTATTTGAGGTAAACGTTTGGTCAAGAAGCTTGGCATATGCAAAAGCATTCTCTCTACAATCAATCTGGTATGCAAATGTGTTAAGTGCAGAACCGCTTTCTTGTATAACGCCTTTAATCATATCTAAAAATTAAAAGAGTATATTATTCCTACAATAATTATTATTATTGTGGGGATAATAGGAATGAAACTACTAATGATTAATATTGTAGGAATAACTATTAAAAAAAAATAATAGTAAAATGCGCCAAATAATTGTTATATTTTGTTTCTGTCCTATTGCTTTTTTGGTTTAACCCTCCAGTACACCTTTTGCTTAACCCAATTTAATAATATTGCTATTAGAACTATACTGTTTATAATATACGTAACCGTTAACTCAAAATTATATTTTGTATTTGGCGGTTAAGAGCGTAGGCGCAAAATTTCGGGCCAATGCTTTTTAAATGCATTCATTTTTTTCGAATCCTGAGAAAACTAACTGAGAAAACTAATAAATATTTTTGAAAAATTTAAACGCAGAATGAAAGATTATATTACTACCGAGGGCCGAAAGTCCCTTAGAATAAACAAAAAGTTTTTTTGAATAAGATATTCGAAATTAAAAAGAACACTAAATTTTCTCTTCTTTTTCACCCTTGTAACTTATTAAAATAAACATTATAGAGGTTTTCAGACACTTTCGGCCCTCATTAATAATGTACGCTTTCATTCTGCGTTTAAATTTTTCAAAAATACTCATTAGTTTTCTCAGGATTCGAAAAAAAACGGATGCATTTAAAAAGCATTGGTCCGAAATTTGGCGCCTACGCTCTTGTAGGTTTTCTGCGTGAAAAAAAAAAATAACAAGTATTTATTTTTTATTTTTGTTTTAGTTATCAGCAATGTCCCGACCAAAAAAAGTAAGATTCAGCGACTCTAATTTTGAAAAAATGTTGATGGAATGTAATAATGAAATAGAGAACGAACGGGGGACGAATATATATGGTAGTGACGACGACAACTGCTCAGATGACTATAATGTTGAACAATATGTATTTGATGCTATTCTAGAAGAAGAATGTACAACGTGTATAAATTGTATACGCATTTTAAATTAGCGCGCCACTTCCCACCACTCATTTTTGTAATGCATAGCATATCCGTGGTGTGGACGTGTGCCGTGCTGAATAGGGATGGTTGTTTTTAAAAAAAAAACGGTTTTCGGTTATACCGGTTTTTTTGCCTACGGTTTAACCTAGCGGTTATAACCGGCCAAAAAAACCGGTTTTCGCAAAAACCGATTTTCGGTTTTTTTAATTTAATAGGTTACAAAGTTACATTTACAATGCACTATAGTTTGCGATACTTATTTATAAAATAAAATAAAATTTGAATTACAGTTTTGTTTTGAATAATTACTTGAGAATAATAGTTATGATTGGGATCTAAAATAATACCTAACCTAATCCTATTCACCGTAAATACCTAATAACCAGTTTTTACTATAAAAATATAGAACCGGTTATAACCGGGACAAAAAACAACCGATAAAACCGGTTATTCCGAAGTAAAAAAACCGGTTTTCGGTTAAAACCGGTAGGTTTTCCCCATCCCTAGTGCTGAAGAGTATCATATAGAGAAGATGGCGAATAAGTTCAAGAATGTGTAACAACGTGTGTCAATAAAGTTCATTTAGTGTAACAGTTTCTCAATTCAATGCACATTTATTTAAGTGTTCTCATCCCCCCTACACAACGTCTGAACAAAAATTAGAACAAGACTGTAGTAAGTGTGTGTCTTGTTCTACTGTGTGTAGAACAAGACGTTCAAGGGAAGAAGATGACGAGCAAATAATTTTAAAATACTATCTTGGCAAAGAAAAAAAAATAGAAGCTAGAAACGCAAAAACACTGTTAAAATACTTCAAATATATGCTAGATAATAATATCGTCAAATAAATAACGCGTTGTAATACCAACGTCTATATTGAGAAGGTAAGAGCAAATTTCCAACGCTACAAAGATACTAAAATGACCGACGTCGAAGAGATTTGAGGACTTATTGGTATACTCTTTTTAGCAGGTGTTCTAAAATCTGGAAGACTAAATGTTTTGCAAGTTTGGAATAATAAGAAAGGTACTGATGTTGAAGCTATTTACTTGAAAATGTCTTTAAAAGGTTTACGTTTACCAAGGAATAAAACATAGTTTCTTGGGATTATTTATTTCAAAAGCATTACAAAACCAATATTATTATTATTTTTTTAATAATGGCATTGACATTAGTCATTCAGCCAGTTGCAATAGATTCTCAAATATTATTTTTAGAAATAATTCAATAGGATAAATCGTTGTTTTTATATAAAACCTATTATATAATAACTATTTGCAACGTTCATTAAAGAAGTATCTATTAATCAAAAATATTTATGTTTTACAATAAAAATTACATCAAATATTACTAAAAAAATTAAAAACTTATTTGTAAACTTTTTAAAAACTTGTTTGTTTGTGTAAAAATAAAAAATTATATGTGTATATAATGGCTATACACCCCAGCGTGAGGTTAAATCGCAAATGCTTTCTAGATTCTATTTCTTATGGATTAGTCTTTTTTCGTTTATCTTATCTTCTTGACAATATGTCTCCATTTTTTCCTGTCTCTAGTTCTTCCTCTCCATTCACTGACTCCTGCCCTTTGGAGGTCTTCTTCAACTTCTTGCAGTCACTTTGATCTCGGTCTTCCCCTTCTCTTTCTTCCTCCTGGATTCCATTCTATTATTGCGTATGTCACTGCCTCATCGCCTGCTCGCCAAATGTGACCTAACCATCTAACTCTGCATTGCGTTATTTTAGTTACGATGTCCTCCTTAAGTTCTTCCTTAATTTCTGCATTTGTTCTGCTTCTATATTCATTTTGCTCTGTTCTGATTGGTCCTAGTATCGTTCTCATAATCTTTCTCTCTGCTATTCTTAAGTCTTCTTCATCTTTTTTAACCATCGTCATTGTTTCCCCTGCATATAATAATATTGGTCTAATTATGGTGTTATAAATGCTCATTTTGCTTTTTTTAGTCAGTGTTTTGCTTTTAAGTAATCTTTTGTTTGCAAAATAAGCTTTATTCGCTGCTAATATTTTTCTTTTATTTCGGATTTCCTTTCTCCGGATTTACTTATTGTAACTCCTAGGTATTTGAAGTATTCTACTTCTTCAAACTCAGAACTTCCTAAATTGATTTTTTTCTTCATTGGTTTTTTTCCTAATCTTAATATTTTTGTCTTTTCTTGATTTAATCTTAGCCCCATTACCTCCCCTTTCTCTCTTATTTCTTCAAGCATTTCTTTCATCATTTTTCTGTTCTTTGCAATAATAGCAATATCGTCTGCATATGCAATTATTTGACCACCTCTTGTTCTGAGATTTCCTTTATTTATATTTCGCAGTACATGTTCTAATGTTAGATTAAATAGCGTTGTTGATAAGGCATCTCCTTGTTTCATCCATTTATTTATACTGAATTCCTCTGTCTCTGCTCTTTGTGTCTTTATGCTTATTTTTGTAGTTCTCATTTTCATTTCTATTAATTTTCTGAGTTTATGTGGAATTTTTAATTTTTTAAGTGCTGTTATTAATACGGTCCTTTTAATTGAATCAAATGCCTAGTAATATTATTCCTCTATAATTTTCACAGATTTGTTGGTCTCCCTTTTTATGTACTGTTATGATCTGTCCTACCTCCCAGTCACCTGGCATTTTCTCTTCTTTCCATATAGTCAATAGTTCAAAAATAAAAAATTGTTTAAACAGATTAGACGGTTTATTTAACAATTAAATTATTTAAATAACACATATTCGTAATATACGGAAAAAGTACATACAAATTAAAAAAAAGGACGTCGAAATCAATAAACAGGAAATGAAATCATTTTCGAATTTTATCTGTTAATTGTTATAAATCAAGCTGCTATCAATTTAAAATAAAGGCACTAATTTCTTTCCAAAGTGTCGTAGGTCAACTTTTTTTTTTAATTTGTAAGAAAATACAGGCTTTCTTAATATGAAAAAATAATTTTTTTGTAGGCAATGATCAATTATTTAATCTAATTGATATAAGCATAAAATCGACATGTTTTAGCAAAATTTTGCATTTAAAATTATTTTTCCTAATTTTTTTAAAAATATATATAAATTTCTGGCTTATATTGTTGCAAAAAAATTAATTTAGGATAAACAAATTAAATAACTTTTAAACTATTTTACTGATTGACTTAAAATTTTGGCTATATTTTAAGCACCATAAAAGCCAGCATTGTATGCAATGATAAAATGGTTATAAGTTTATTTTTAAAAAAGTTATTCTTTCTTGCGTCTGGCAAGAAGAAATGATTTATTAACTCTTATGCACTATTCCTTGCAAATTAAACGATAGATTAATAAAAATATGCTCACCGACAGAGTATTTCAAGTAACTATAGGATCCGAAGTAAGCACGCACAGAGAATTCAAAAATGGTCTGCCGCAAGGCTCGGTACTCGCACCATTGCTTTTTAGCCTTTTTATCGCAGATATGCCGACAACAACATCAACTAAGTTTGGCTTTGCTGATGACTGGGCTTTATTAACTCAAACAAAGTCACTAGAAGAAGCTTAAGAGATACCTACTTAAGACCTAGAGGTTATGAGAAATTACTTTCAAAAATGGAAACTTCGCCTCAATGCCTCCAAGACTGAAGTAACCGGCTTCCACGTAAACAACAATCTGGCATCAAGAACCCTTAACGTTCACTTTGGTAACACACGATTCAACCACAATAAACATCAAACATATCTAGACGTGGCCTTGGACAGAACGTTAAGCTTTAGAGAACATTTAAGTACAGTTGAAGAGAGGTTACAAACCAGAAATAACATCATTCAGAAGCTCTGCGGCACAACATGGGGGCATCAGCATCCACACTTAGGTCTTCAGGCTTAACCCTTGTTTATTCCGTAGCGTTGTGTGCCAATATGGATCAACAGTGCTCACGTTAAAAAGATAGATGTCCAACTAAATAACACTATGAGAATGATGGCTGGAGTAATCAAATCTATACTAACACATGGGCTACCAGTGCTGAACAATATTCCACCACCACATCTTCGCCGACTCAATCTGCTTGCCAAAAAATATAAACAAGATCCTTAGCAACACGGCGCTACCGATTCATAACTATATAGAAGGTTGAACCAAAAGTCGACTGCGCTCCAGAAAATCTCCAATATAAACTGCAGAATCAGCCACATCCACAGGGTTCAACATGATCACCAAATGGATCCTTGAATTGACAGCTTAACCAAATACAGTCATACCTTGCGTCACAGGGACACCTCCTGGATTTGACTTACAACGTAAGACCTGGTGCACACTTAACCACATCAGAACCCAAAATGGTCGATGCGCAAATATGTTGCACAAATGAAGCAAGCTACCATCACCGTTATGCAGCTGCGGCGAGGTCCAATCTATTAAGCACATAACGAGAGAGTGCCACCAGCGAAGCTACGAGGGCAGTTCACAAGGTTCCCTGTTTGCGACGATCGGGTCGATTAACTATAATAACAACCTTGATGTTTGCTTATAAACTGGGCATGATTTAAGTATTTTTATCTCCAGTCAATTTGAACGTTTATTGTAATGTTTACTGTATTATTGTAGATGTGTCGAAATGCCATACGCTAAATAAAATTAAAACATTTCTACTCTTATATCAAATACTTCACTTTTGGCTGATAGACGAAAAACGCAAAAATTTACCGTTTTTTGACTTTTATTTGTTAATAATTAATGAAGACAAAAAAATCGAGAAGTCCATACTACTCAAAACAACTGTCGTTTGACTGGTCGGTTTAGTGTCTAAAACAGCGTACTTTTTTAATTATTTTCCAGGTCTCTATTAGTGGTATTTGTGATTTGAATCAATGTGCCTACTTTGTAGTTCCCTGCGTGTTACAAAACCAATTTGATGGTGTCACATTAGTTTTCTTTAAAGGATCATCATCATCTTTGGCTCGACAATCCTCTGTGGATCTTGGCCTGCTCTAAGATTCGTCGCCATTCTGTTCGGTTTTTGGCAACATGTTGCCATCTTCTGATTTTTAATATTCGTAAGTCGGTTTCTACTCCATCAATCCACCTAATTCGCGGTCGGCCTTTGCTTCTTTTTCCTGCAGGTGTTCCTTTGGTTAGCTTTTTAGCAATGTATTTTCTGGCATTCGTATTATGTGTCCAGCCCATCTAAGTCGCTGTGTTTTAATGAACGTTATGACATCTGGCTCATCAAAGAGCTGATACAATTCAAAATTATATCTTCTGCGCCACTGCCCTTGGTCGTTTACAGCTCCAAATATTTTGCGGAGTATTTTACGCTCAAATATTCTCAAAAGTCTTTCATCTTTCTGCGTTAGAGTCCATGTTTCTGCTCCATATGTGAGGACCGGCCTCAGCAATGTTTTGTATATAATAATTTTAGATTTTATTTGAATGTTTCTTGAGTGGAAATGCTTTTGGAGTCCATAGTATGCCCTATTTGTAAGATTTATTCGTCTTTTGATTTCTTTGCTTGTTTTATTGGTAGCAGTCAATAGCAACCCAAGGTATGTGAAGTTGTCAACACGTCCAAAGGTATGACTTCCAAAGACTGTTTCTCGTTCCTCATTTGCTATCCGATCCTTTGTAACCAACATGTACTTGGTTTTGTCTTCGTTGATGACTAGACCGACCTGTTTCGCCGCTGTTTCCAATTCTAGGAGATATTGCTCACCATCTCGCTTGCTACGCCCTACTACGTCAATGTCATCAGCATATGCTAAGACTTGTATTGATCTATTGTAAATAGTACCGCTATCCCTAATTCGTGTATCTCGGACTGCCTTTTCTAAGACAATATTAAATAGGAGGCAAGCCAGAGCATCTCCTTGTCTTAGTCCATCCTTTATCTCAAAGGATCTAGAACTCTCTCCCTGTATTTTAACAGTGGCTTCTAAGTTAGACATTGTCATTCTCGTTAGTTGGATAAGTTTTTCTGGTATACCAAACTCATGCATTGATTGGTATAGCACTGTTCTCTTGACACTGTCGTATGCGGCCTTGAAGTCGACGAATAGGTGATGTGTTTCAATATTGAATTCTAATGTTTTCTCGAGAATCTGTCTTATTGAATGAATCTGGTCAATTGTGGATTTTTCTGGAGTAAATCCAACTTGATATTTACCAATTATGCCCACTGTGTAAACTTGCAACCTTTCATAGAGAATATTTGCTAGTATTTTGTAAGCAGTTGTTAACAGGGTTATACCTCTATAGTTGTCACACTGGAGCTGGTCACCTTTTTTATGTAACGGGCATACCACGCCTTGAGACCATTCACAAGGCATGGTCACATTATGCCAAACAAGAAGTAAAAGCTTATGCAGTGTCTGTAGTAGGGCATCGCCACCATTCTTGTAGAGCTCACTGCAAATTTGATCAACTCCTGGTGATTTATTATTTTTAAGCTTTTTAATGGCTTGGTCAACTTTTTCGATGGTAGGTGGTCTTTCGTTTGAATTGAAAGGATTCCAAACATTTCGATTTTCTAGGGTGTTATCTGCTTCTTCGATGTGATGGCCATTAAATTTTGCATCGAACAATTCAACCCATCTGTTTAGGATTGAGGCTGTATCATTTAGGATGTTTCCTTCTACATCCTTACAGCTCCTTATTCTTGGCTTAAACTCTTTGCGTATTTTGTTTAGATTTCTGTAGAACTTTCGAGTTTCATTTTGATTTCTTAGCCATTCTGTGCTTTCCAACTGGTTTTGCTCAAATTGTCTTTTTTTTCTTCTATGTAATCCTTTTTCTTCTCTTCTTAGTGTCCGGTATTCTTCCTTTGCTCTTCTTGTGCATCCAGCTTGATTTGTCTTTAGGTATGCCCTTTAGGTTTGGTTTTTCCCAATATTTTTGTTGCTTTCTCAGTTATTATGTTTTTACATTTTGTCCACAGTTCCTCTACATTTTCCCCCACCTCCAATTTCTTTAAAGGATAATAGGTTTTAATGTTTGTTTGAATTTCCGCAAAATGTGGAATTTCTTTTTTTAAATCCAGTTCGATGAAAGTAATATACTTACCTTTATTTCCAGTATGTAATAAATGATAGCTAACTGATGAACCTCCTGCACTTTCACCTCCTATGGTGATTTGTTTTGGATCCCCACCAAAAGCTTCTATATTATCGTAAGTCCATTTAAGAGCAAATTGTTGATCTTTTAAACCTAAATTTCCAGGAATATTTTCATCGTCGGTTGACAGAAAGCCTAAAATAATAAAAGGAATATATATCATTTAGTTAGTCAATATTTAAAAAAAATATTAAATTTATTACAACGGAAATCTTTAAATTCTATTACTGATTGGGAAATATAAAGGACCCACTATTAATTTCTTCTTAAGATCAGTCAACCAACTTCATTTATATTATATTACTAGTGGTCGTAATTTAATTATTGTAGATTCGTATGTTTATACTAAAAGATGTCAGATATCAAAGAACAGAAATAAAAAAGGGATTAAAATTGAGCAGCACCCGGAAGAAATGCAGATCTGTAGAGGAGTTAGACAGGAATGTGTTTTATCGCCACTTTTGTTACTTATATTCTAAAAAAATTTTCCAAAACACGCTCAATAATATTGAAGCAGGAGTCACCTTTAACGAAAAATAATTAACAACTTGATCATAGCAACGAGTATAGAGGATCTACAACATTTTATCGAAAGCTTCAGTATGACTAGTGCTGAGATTGGAATTATTATAAACGCTAAAAAAAAAACTTAGATTGTCAGATCAGAATTTTACGAATGAAGCCACTCCTAACGTGCAAAAATCTAAATTTGGAGATCAGACTACGTACCATTCGCTGTTATATATTTTTAATATTATTATATGGAGCTGAGACTTGTGTTGGCGAAATAAATTCTCAACACAATACATTTTAATGTATTTTATGTTTTGTGTGACACAATGTGTTCTATGTTTAACTTAAAATTCCAACGCCTGCGCGTTGTCAGAAAAAGCAAGTGTGTTCGTTATAAAAATGTCGGGCAAAAGGTTGACTTCTGATCATTCCAATAAAATTGTAATTATTATCAAAAAAATAAAAATTAAGTTATATAAAAATATTAGTGGCTCTTCCCTGTGGGAATCCAATCAGTTTAGTGAAAGTTGTGTTTGTGGAAATAAAGGTTGTGTCCTGAAAATTTGCCTAAATTATTTCTAGCCTCCATACCACCGAAAAATTCTTTAATGTAAAATTTCAACAACTGAAACATTAAAAAAATGAAATTTAAAAAGATAGAATCACAAATAAAGAAGTACTGGAGGGGATTGGTAAAGAAACAGAACTAATCACCACTATACAAACCAGAAAACTGGAATATCTAGGCCACGTGAAGAGGGGTCCAAAATATGAAATTTTGATACTCATAATACAGGGAAAGATTCAAGGAAGAAGATCTGTTGGTCGAAGGCAGAACTCGTGGTTAAAGAATCTACATGATTGGTATCAATGCAGATCGATTGACTTGCTTAGAGCAGCAAGTTCTAAAATAAAAATAGCCAATATGATTGCCAACCTCCGTATTGAGGCGGCACTCTAAAAAGGAGCACTCGGTAAATTAATTTCTATGTTAAAAAAAGATAATTGCTATATCCCAAAACGCAGTATTTAATAATTAATGTATAATGTTTTTATTTATGTTTCGCAACCATATTATAGACTTTTCACGTAAAGGAAAAAATTGTGTAAGCCAAGTCAAAACCACAGCCCGAGGACTAGACCGCGAGCGCAAGCGCGTTAAGATAAACCAAACGGTCGGGTCACAAGGGATCCCACGTTGTTGATGTTCTAGAATTAAATAGTACCAGAGATAGTGAATTAATGGTTGAGTTTGCCGAAAGTACAAGCTGAATATAGCCGCAAATGTCAACCAAGAATTAAAATATTTCCAACCAAGAAATAAAAATATAAATGTTAAATAAAAAACACAAGAAAGCCCTGAAATTAGTATTTCCACCACCAGAGCAAAAACCCAGTACCTTCTGCTCGATTACATATACAGGCAAAATATCAACAACCATAGCCAAACATATAAAAAAGAACGGAATAACACCAGCTTTCAAAACAAATAACAACTTAAGCAAATATATTAGAAATAACAAGAGCCAAAATAAAAAACACTTACACAGTGGTGTGTACAAACTTAAATGTCGCGACTGCCCAAAAACTTACATCGGTCAAACTGGTAGAAATTTTAATAAACGAATAGCAGAACATAAAAGGGCTTTCAATAATAGAAAAAACAGATTCTACATACGCACTTCACCTTCTATATCATAATCATTCTTTTAATAACGAATTTTAAATTCTGTACATTCAAAATAAAGGCCTTAAGCTATCTTTGTTAGAATCTATGAAAATCAACAAATTAAAAAACACAGATATAATTCTGAATGACCAACTTGAGACACACAGTTCTCCCCTCCTCAGCTTATTTTATTAAAGACTATAAAGTGTAAACGCATTGCAAAAATAGATCAGTTGAGAAAGGCAATCAACCGAAACAGCTGTAGTGTTCAGAGTTTAAAATAAATTTTGTTGTTTAAAAGTTTGAAAACAAACTTTTCAGTGTTTTATTGTTACATAAAATATTTTTGTTTAGCAGTATTGGGATGTATTTAAAATACATGTTCTATGCTTCAAATATAAAGAGAGAAAGCTTTTAAGAAGTACATATCGATTATATTATTTTTTGAATTCTGCAATTGTTTATTTATATGAAACAATAACGAGTGAATATTTGTCTCTCTCAAGATTAATTGCAAACATCTGTCGCAATCTGCCAAAAAAATTCCTAATAATTAACTGCAACAAATCTTCAAAGAAGCAAATATTTACTCATTCTTGTTTAATATAAATCAAAAATTGCAGAAATCATAACAATATAAATAAAATGTACATTTCTAAAGCTTTATCTTTTTATATTTGAAGCATACATCATCTACATGTATGTCAAACATGCCAACACTGCTAAACTGAAATTTTTCGTTCCATGTTTGACATTTGTGGTTATAATCAGCTTGTACTTTCGGTAAACCGAATTGATTAATAAAATAGGCATAACAATCCTTTATAATAGTGATGGGAATACAAATGTCTCTAATAGGTAAATACAAAGACCGGGCTAAAACTTAAACCTGCTAAATAAAAAAAAAATCTAAACTCAAGATAAGACATGCTTAAGAATTAGTAAAATAGCCCATCGGTAAAATAAACCTAATTTTTTAAGTTTTAATAGGCACAGTTAATACATATTTGCCTAATAAATATAACATTTACAAATTTTCAAATCAGAATCGATTGATATTTAGTACTCTCGTTCTGTTTTATGAGAAATTTTCTCCTCAACTACAAAAAGCAAATAAAAACCTGCTTAGAACAGTTTAGACTGGTATCCAGAATGAATTATTCTTAGTACTTGGTACAATGATTAAAATCCACAAGGCAAATAAATTCACTGTAGGCGGCTGTATATACCATCACAAAAATTTTTGTTCAAAATGTTATATAAATGTATATCTATTTAAAAAGAACCCTTTCGGGGTACATCATAGAACGTTTCAGGAATAAGAATTATTAGTGCTGTTATCTGAAATAAGTATTACCACTTTAATTAAAACAAACAAACAATGTGTGCCTTATGCGACTACAGCCAATAATTTGTCAAATGAATATGCTGACAATTTTAACATAGCTTGTAACAGTAGCAAACATCAACATAATGGGGTTAAAGTGTAATAATCTGTCAATCCTAGCAAAACACAAGCCGTCATGTACCAAAAAAGAAGAGGCGGATCAAATGGGGTTCTATCCCTATTTGATACGCAAATCGAATGGTCAAATCAAGCCAAATACCTAGGCGTAAAGTTGGACAAAATGCTGATCTTCACAGAACACGTGAAACAAACGGTCCAGAAAGATAAAATAATTAGAAGTCAACGTCAATATTAATAGGTCGGAAGATAAATTAAGATTTTAAACAAAGATTAGGATGGCAAACTGTATAATTTTACTAACACTAATATACACCTTAGCCGCATGAGGACACACTTGCAAATCTAACAGAAACAAAATACAAATAGTCCAGAACCATGTGATCAGATAGGCTCTCAATATACCTAAATACGTTCCATTAAGGTACGTATTTAGAGACTCAGAACAAAAGAAAATCCTGAGAACAATGGACTAAAAAGCACAGATGATTTTCAATGATCTTATGAACCATCCTAGAAGACTATTAAGAGAGTTGATAGACTATGACGAAAACCAAAAGACAGTGCATAGGTGGCTCAGAGAGCAGCTAGCTGAGTATAGAGAAGACCCAGAAGTACAATTAAAAAATGATAGCCATGCAATAGTCGAATAAACGCAGTAACAGAAGGCCCTAAATACCTTATCCTTATATTTTATTTATTTTATTTAGTTATTTTTAATTTTAATACTTATAACCTTCTGTTACAGCAGCCATGTAGCGCCAATACAATACAAAAAATACAGACAGACAGAAAAGCTGTTCAGCTAAAAGACTCTTTATGTAGGTCAAAACGATCAAGTTCGCGGAACTTGAGTTTCGAGGTCACGTAAAGACAAGCGTGAGCTTGATGGCCAGACCCTTCGGGTGCACCAGGAGACCAAAATTATATTGCCAATTTGGCCGAGCACATACAATCCGGGCGGAAATTTTCGTCGGTGACTCGCTGTCCGGAACACACATTTTGGGACACAAGTCCAAAGTCATGTAAAACTTAACTTCAGTCATTCATAGGAACTAAAGCTTATCTAGTTACCCCTAAAATCATGTGGCTTAACCACAGAGGATGTCCCAATACCCAGGACATCAAAAGTAACTTTCAGTAAAAAGACTCCTCATTGGTTATGTCCTGCGACGGAGAGGGGTGGTTGGTTATAGCTTGGGGGTCAGACTGGTAGCACTCTATTACGGAGTGTGACCGGTTTAATCTTCGAACATGTGATGTAACAAATATTGTAACAAAATTTTTATATTGCTCCACTTTGGGCGCTACTGTAACAAATAGTAGCTAGATCACTTGGGACCAGGTCCCTGATGTTATAAGATATGTAGAGTAGTGTGGAGATAAGTTTGAAACTAAATTAAAATAGAAGTTGAAACTAAATGCAGTTCGACTAGCTGGGTATGCTTGAGACTGGCCAGGTGATACTCAAAGTAGCGTTAGGCCTATTTGCATTCCCTGCGAAAACAGTAAAGAATAGAAAAGATGTAAATTAACTAAGAAAATATAAAAATAACCAAAACGAACTAAGAGTAAGTACTGAAAACCGGAATAAAGGAAAGAAAAATTCTTTCCTTTATTCCGGACTATTCTTCCAGATTATTCCTAGAATTCTGTTTACTGGACTGTTGGTCTAATTAACACTTCACCGTGTGTAACTTTATTGCTGCTGTTGACTATGTTTCTATAATTAGATATAACCTTATTAAATAAAAAGAAGGTTTAATAAAACAGAGTCTTACTTTAAACCCAATTTAATAACAATAAAATAGAAACCTGTAAACCTCGTAGTATACAATTTAACTTAAATACCCTTATAATAATATACACTATTATTGACCCCTTTTATATATACAATATATTTACATTTAATAATTTACTAGAAAAGTATCAACTAATTTTATGAAGTTTTATTAATTTATTAATTAAAGCAAAAATTAATGACAACCAACATTTGATAATTTAAACAACTATAACCCCTCCCTATAACACAATATATCAGTTTGACAGTTTCCAAATTGATTCCAATCAGATAACCTGTAGATATATTTAAATTGGTCTGTCCAGAAAGGAACAGATACAAGATGAATTGGTGATGTTACAAGTAGGGCTGTAGAAATACAAAATGGACCTTTGTGCACAAATGATCTTACAAAAAACAATTGTATTATAATCCACCCCTACCCTGTTATATCTGATACATATATAATATATATAAAAGATTTAATGATAAAATAAACAAATGATATTGAGAAACAAAATTGAACGTTATATAACTAATGACACGAAAATATTAGTTAAGAAAATTGACTAAGATTATTATTAAGGTTTTGTTCGTTGACTGATTAAAGTTTAAAAAAACTTTAAGGAAATTATTTTAAAATAGTAGGAACAATTATTATAAAGGAACCTGACTAATCTCAAACTGAGAAAGTTCTTCTTCCGGATGCTTACGTCACTTGTAAGGTTAAAACCTAGAAGTACACTCTTCTAGTAGTTAACTGAACTGCTACTCCAGTAACCGGGATAAACCAGAAAAAAACTCCAACCAAACTACATGGACTCCATTAAGGTAAATGCACTAGTACTTGACACTGTACCAGTAGTTGACATTTTCCATTTTAAGCATAAATAATAAGCTTTTCCAATTATTTCTAATGTAATTATTACCATCATAGTTAACTAGTGTCATCTATACATCTTCTCTGTAACTGTAGAATTATTTAACTTTGAAACAGAAAATTCCCACCAAATTTTTGTCAAAGTGTTGTGTGAGCTTCAAGTGGCAACAAGTTTTCTAAACAAAAGTATTAAGAAGGTAAGTTTAAAAAAATTAATATTTATTGATTAAATTGTGAATGACTGTAGTTTTAATTATATCAATATATTATATGAATATTAAGGTAAGATCTTGCTAATGTTTTAGGTTTGTTTTATTCTCAAAACAAAAATTAGGCTAGGTGTCAATTACTAACTCACAAATACACAAAAATACTAGTAGTTGACATAGGTGTCAACTTCTAACCATTTATACTGAGACTGTAAAAATTTATTATTTTATTGTTATTTTCATTGTATATAATGTGTACACTTATATTTTAAATATCACGTAAATGTATCCACTCTATCTAGTAGTTGACACTATGTCAACTATTGAAACACTTTGGATGTCAACTACTAAAACAAAAATTTTAAATTTCAGTTAAAAATATGCCTCCTATAAAAGGACACATGTTCCAATATACACAAGAAGCTATGGAGAAAGCTATTGAGGAAGTTCTATGTAGAAAGCCAGTTTCAGCAACATTTAACATTACACACTAGTAGATTTTGCAGTGAACATGGTATTATATTGGTAGCCCTTCATCCAAATGCAACACATTTGCTTCAGCCAATGGATGTTGCTGTATTTCGTTCTTTAAAAGGGGGTTGGAAAGATGCAGTACACCAGTGGCGGATTGAGAATCAGGCTTCTCCAGTTTTAAGGAAAATTCACTTCTGTCCTCTTTAGAAAAAAGTTCTAGAGGAAAGGTTAAGTACCATCAGTTTTAAAAAATGGTTTCCGAAAATGTGGCTTAGTTCCCTAGGATGTTGGTGCGATTATGTTTCACAATGAGAAAATAGACATTTCAAAGAAAATGCAGGAATTGCAGGAAATGAAACAAGGGAAAAACTTTATAGAGAAACATATTGATAAACAAAAACTAGCTCTTTTCAAAACAAGCCTAGAATGGAACAATGACAATGAAGATTTATTTCTCTTTTACTTTTACAAAAACATTTGTATAAAATACAGTCTTTTAGAAGAAGAAATAAACCATTTGAAAGCGAAACAAGGTGCGAAAGAACCAGATGATGAAGACAATATTATTGAAGATGCCACTGAGGCTGAACCAGGTAGAAACATTTCGGATGTTTTGGAAAGTTACACTAGTCCCACTAGGAAAAATCTTCAACATAACAATATTGCTATTATTCAAAACACTTGTGCTTCTTCATTAACACAATCACAAGTTCCATCTTCAGCAATTGAAGAATTACCTACACCTTCTACATCAAATGAAATTATACCCTCTCCTTTTAAACGAATACTGTTTTGCCCTGAACCCAGAGTATCCACAGTAAAAAAAGAAGAGTGGAAAAAGTTCCTTCTGTGGCTAGTTCAAAAGAATGGCAAACTTATCATGAAAATAAAGAAAATAAGATCAAGCTTCTTGAAGAAAAACAGAAGAGAGCAGAAGAGAGACAAAAGAAAAGAGAAGAAAAAAACTTTGTTAAAAAACAGAAACTGAAAGTGACGAAAAAAAAAAGTAAGTAAGAAAAAGGAAGAATCCTCAAGTGATAATAATGAATCATAGGTTGAATCTGGTAGCAGTAAAATGACAGTAAAACTTCTTTTTGAATTAATGATAAAGATGTGAGCGTAATAACATTTCATCAAATCCTCAAAAACCCGCAAAAGGATGCCCCAACCTCAGATACTCATTTCATGAGAAAGAATAAAGTATCAGTTTCCAGATTCAGTGGATGTGGAAACATCTAACATTAAAGTACTCCTGTAATTACATATTCTTAATAAAATTATCAAAATATATTTGGGTGTCAATTACTAAACCTTGGATGTGTCAACTACTAATTTTTTTTCATTTTGTTGTGTCAACTACTGACACTTTTGCAACAATTTTTGTAAATTTTATAAAAAATATTTAGAAAGCAGAATTGTCCAAAAATTTATTTGTTAAATATTCAGAAAGGATTAGATTACCTGAATATACATATATTTTTTATTTAATTTCATCGACATCGGTTTGAGGCTAAATAATGTTTTTTTTTCTTCTTATAATGTCAACTACTAGTACATTTACCTTACCCCAAATTCAAAATAATCCTGATTTGACTTTATAGTCCTTCTTTCCTCCAGTGACTAAAAATAAAATCAAAGAAAGCTCTCATTAGCTTTATTCTGAGTTGATAAACAAAAAGGCGATTAGGACAAAAAAAAACTAGCCGAATGATGATAATTAGTGAAGGTTTGTACACTTTTTGTGACCTTGACAAATTAATTGAAAACTATTTTTATAAAAATAATGTTGGGATTTAACTATGAATATTTCAAAGAAGAATTGAAATATAACATATCTTAACGAATATATTATAGGCAAAGAGTAATGAAGGATCTCCTTACATTACCGAATTGCTTGGATATTGATGAGAACGTGTACTTAGGAGAATTTCTAACAAAAAGAATTCTGAACGTGATTTGACTTATAGAAATTAGGGAAAATTAATTGGATAAATGATATAAATATGAAACTAGTAATGGTTAAAAAAAAATCATTTACTGTAATTAAAATGAAACTCACCCAACGCAACACTATTTCACTAATTAAAACAAAATCTTCTTATCCCAAAACTTCTAAACTCAAAGCAAAACGTATTCTGTAACTTTAATAATTGACCTCTGAATAACTTAAAATGTTTTCGGCTAACTTGAAAACCACGTGCGTTGGCCGCTGGATTTAATCAGTCCTCTGTCCCGTTCAAAGGCTGGATATAAAGTGCTTTCTTACACTTTTAAAATCGTTGGCTTCCGTCAGCTCCAAGGTAAACGGTAACGGCAGGTAGGCAGTTTGACCAATTGACAAACAATTGATAACACCATTACATGTATAGTTGGTTGCATACCTTACAGGCAGAATTAAGTTATTTTAAATTTTTCAGTAACGATAAAGAACTCTTATTGTTACAGTGAGTCCTACTGTTCCATTGGAACACACATGTCACTCGGAGCTGAGGTTCTACAGAAATTGTTGTGTGTGTGTGTATGAGAAAGTTACGTGGATTGAAGTCAGGGAGCATTTATATTTGCATGACAATAAATAAATAAAATAATATATTTTATATTTTCGAATATTTTTAAAAAAATGTTACAAAGCGTTAGTATATATTTTATAAGTTTCGTTTGTTTGTTAGTTAATTTTTAATTAATATGTTTAACATCTTACCTAAGACGCCCAGCCTGTAATTAATTGTTACAACTATTACACCAAAGTCCATAAAATTTTTAGGATCATATGTAGTATTTGCCCCATCACCTGTATTAAAACCTCCTCCATGGATCCAAAAGTACACAGGCAAAGAAGAGTTAGTACTAGGTATCTAAAATAAAATATAAAAATTATTTTAAAAGGCAAATTCCCAGTGGTTGGCTATATACCATAGTTTAAAAAACTTGAAGTAAAAACTTCTTTGTAAATTGGTATTAAAATTTTTATTAATATTTTAAAATTATCGAAAATGGATTTATAAATTTCAGAAGGTTTTCTATCCTATCAGATAATGATCAGTGAAAGAGTAGTCTATAAATTAATTGGAACTAGCTACATAAGGAATGTAATGGGATAGTAAAGCGCAACATATAGCCACTCCTATTATATTCAAATGTCAACCTCACCTGCTCGTATGATGATCTAGATCATGGTCTTCTGGTACATCCTTCTAGTTAACTAACGAGGCTCTGACGTCCGAGTGTTTGCCGGGATAAGCAATCCACTATTTACTGGCCAACGGCTTAGGGCGAATGAGCTAGTAAGTGGAAGTACACTCTGTCCTGAGACTGAGAAATTGGTCTCGAAGGCGGAGGAACCAAGAAAGTACAAGAACGGCATCAGAATGCAGAAGGCAACGAGAAAACACTGCATAAAAGGTCCCTGATGACATCTCTCGTATAAATTATAATGGCTAGTACTATTTGCGCAAGAAAAATTATTGATTATGGTGCAGCACTACTTAACAGTAACAATGGTTTTTCAATTGTTATCGGTTAAGATAAAAAAAAGTTACTCTGACATCAGAGACCAAAATCCGGTAGTGAAGGACAACGATTAGAACGCAAGGCCTCCTTGGTCGTCAACATGCGAAAACCTTGCACAAAAAACCACAAAAAACACTCAAATATCTCAGATAAAAATGTAATGTAAGAAGTATGTATCAGTCTAGAAAACTACATAATGTTATTAAAGAGAGAGAGGGGGGCTAAATATAGATATACTTGTATGTACAATGGTCAGGAAATGGAGGGATATCAATAAATAACCACAATATTTATAACACTGAAGAAGACTAAACTGATCATCGATCCGGAGTAGCCTTCATAATAAGCAACACTATTAGAAAATCAGTGCTAGGTGTGATTCAAATCTCAGAAAGAATAATTATGCTAAAAATTCAAGCACGGAACTGTAATATTAATATTCCAAGTTTATGCTCCCACAACTGAGTTTTATTCAGAATTAAACAATACAGTTAAGTTAACAAAATCTAAAGATATTACTTACATTTTAGGAGACGTATGCAAAAATTGGAGTGGGTACAGTTGAGAGTACAGTGGGTACAGTTCAGTTGTACAGAAAAAAAATATAGTTGGACAGTTAGAATTAATAACTAGAAACGAGAGAGGAGAAAGAATCATATAATTCTGCCAAGAAAAGAATATGGTAATTGCCAATACTTGGTTTCAGCCTCCTAAGAGAAGACTATATATATGAACGTGTCCTTCACATACAGAAAACCACATTGTCAGAAACCAGATAGACTTTATACTCGTAAATAGCAGATATAAAAACTCTATAACCTCAGTTAAAACTTATCCTGAAACAGATGTTAACTCAGACCACAATCCGTTAGTTGCTGACGTAAAAATAAAATCAAAAAGAATTGAACTCAGAAAACAACAACCAAAAATTAATGTAAGAATTGTAAAAACAAATGTAAAAACGAAAATGTAAAAATAATTTAAAAAATAATGTGAATGTTAATGTGCAAAAAAGACTAACTGACAACAGACAAATTATAGATGTGAATAAAAAGTGGTATAATATAAGAAATCACATTACTGAAACCAGCTCAAAAAAGTTTGATGCAACAAAGATCAGAGGCTAATAAATAGTGGATGACAGAAGAAATACTATTACAGATGGAAGAAAGAAGAGAATATAAAGGAAAGTATAAAGAAATACAACGAATACTTAAGGAAAACTCAAAACAGCTAAGGAAATATTTGATGAAACAATGTAAAGAGATAGAAGAACTAGAAACAAAATATGATATGCACAAAAATGATGTGTGCAGAAATAAGCACAAAAAAATAGGAGAAGTGACTGGAATGGGTCAAAATGTATGGGACACATAAAAGATAAAAAGTAGTACTACTAATAGATTTACCAGAGAAATTAAGATAATGGGAGGAGTACGTTAGAGCACTTTTCCAAGATGAAAGAGGTGAAATACAGAAAATACAAGAATTAAATCCTTTAGAAAGGCAGAAGTCAGCATTTATAACCATCCCTAAAAAAACAAGCAACAAAAGAGTGCTGTGATTATCGAACACTGAGCTTTATGAGTCATACTTTAAAAGTACTGCTGAAAGAATATATACATAAGAGAATATACAAAAGACTAGAGGAGGATATTAGCGAGACGCAGTTCGGGTACCGAACTGGAATGGGTACTCGAGAAGGACTATTTGCCATCAACATACTGATTTAGCGATGTCGGGATGTAAACGTTGATCTACACTCGATCTTTGGTGACTACGAAAAAGCTTTCGATAAAGTAAGTCATGAAAAACTAATATCAATACTTATGAACAAGCGCATTGACAGTAAAATCATAAATATATAGTACAAAGATTATATTGGAACCAAAGTGCCATAGTTCAAATGGATGGGCAACACTCAGAAGAAATGAAGATTTGTAGAGGAGTTAGAGAGGGATGTATATTTTATCGCCACTTTTGTTTAAATTATAATCTAAAAAAAAATTTCAAAACACGCTTAATAATATCAAAGCGGGATTTACCGTTAACGGAAAATAATTAACTTACGATATGCAGACGACACTGTGATCATGGGAACGAGTATAGAAGATCTGCAACATCTTATTGAAAGCTTAAGTAGGAATAGTGCTGAGTTGGGCATTACTATAAACGCTAAAAAGCGAAGTACATGCTAATTATAAAAAAACGTAACGTGATAGAACAAGTAGAAAAATATTAGTACTTGGGAACTTTGATTAATGAAACCAATGACCATACTGCAGAACTAAACAGGCAAATAGAGATTGCCAGATTACCATTTATACGAATGAAGCCACTCATAACATGCAAAAATCAAAATTTGGAGATCAGACTACGTACAAATCGCTGTAATATACTTTTAATATTATTATATGGAGCTGAGGAGAGCTGAGATGATCGAGACTTTCGAACTCTAGTTATTCCGCAGAGTATTAAAAATATCATGGATTATATAATTACATAAAAACGAAGATATTCGGAGACAAATGGAAATCGATCTAGACATAATAGACACAATCGAAGCCAAAAGACTTAACTGGTATCGACACCTTCAGAGAATGCCGGAAAATAGATGGCCAAAAGAAATAGAAGAATGGACTCCGCCAACTAGAAGAAAACGAGGTAGACCAAGACGATCCTGGAGAGACGATGTCGACGATGCAATGACCGCCAGAGATCTAACAACTGAAGATTTCTTCGACAGAAAACGCTGGAAATTAGGATGCGAGAAGCGGCGCCAGCCGTAGAAGACTCGCTTGTATACGCTATATGAAGACTGCTTGTATATATATATATATATATATATATATATATATATATATATATACATAATTACAAATAAAGAAGTACCGGAGAGGGTTGGTAAAGAAACCAATCACCACTATACAAACCAGAAAACTGAAATACCTAGGGGCACGTGATGACGGGAGCAAAATATGAAATTTTGAGCCTAATGATATAGGGAAAGATTCAAGGAAGAAGATATGTTGCCCAATAGCAGATTTCAGGGTTGAAGAATCTATGTGATTGGTATCAATGCAATCGATTAATTTGTTTAAAGCAGCAAGTTCAAAAATAAAAACAGCCATATGATTAGATAATAATTGGCAGCATAGTTTTTACAATTGATATAATATACTGCATTACTGATTTTAATGTAATTCATGTTGGATCAAATGACCCCCTAAAAATATCCCATGAGCTTGTAGTCGATAACGTGTAACTTACCACAGGAGTATAGACATTCACAACTAAACAATCTTCAGTTTCTACCAGTGAATCAATTGGATATGGTGATTTGGGCTGAGAACATTTCTTTTTATTACTAGTTACGTCAAGTATTTCTTGCCATCCTTCTAATTCTATTGCTGGCTAAAATTAAAAGAAAAGAGGTTATTCTTAAAAGTAAATTGCAGGTTCCTTATCGTGAAAAGTTATAAATTTTAAGTGGAATGAAGGAGAAAATCACGAACATTAGCATAAAAACATTACGTATCTTACCTTAAAACGATTTTTACCAGTTGGTGCCTGGGCGTAAGGAATATCTTGGAAGGCATAGAAGTCTTGTCCGAATCGACTCTTTAATATGTGTCCGCGAATTCTACTTGGGGGCTTTAATAGTTTTACAATAAGGTCATCTTCATCCAAATTTCTAACATCTATTACAGATGCAGTCGTCTGAAAAGAAGAATATTAATAAAAATAAAAATAAATTAAAATTACAAAATTAATACGTGAGTATAAAGAATAAGTGAGTATATTGAATCAAACTCTTAAAATAAAAAATAATAGTGTTCGTAGTAATAATAAGTCCAGAACGGTTTAATTTTGAATTAAAAGATATCACTAATTTTTTCTAGCACTCAAAACAGTTTTTGGCAAACGCATTGAGCTCTAAAGTAAAAAGAGAACTAATAAAATAGCAGAAAAAATCGAATACTAAATAACTGAAATTCTAAACACCACTCGTTTGAGAAGTTTTTTTTTTCAGCACAAATTGCTAGTTAGAATGTTCTAGAACATACGTGAACGTAGCCATTTGGAAATCACCACAAATTCAAATACTCTGCTGTAGCTGGATTATGTGGCAATTACGACGCAATACTTATAAAAAATTTTCATAAGGTTTATACTCATTCCTTCATGTGATTGTGTTTCTCAGACAAGTTACACATTCACATTTACTCAAATAAAACACATTATATTTGTATAGTGAGAGCTAACCGGCATGGAAATCCTTCTTCTTCAAGTCTCTTCTCCTATCGGAGGTTGGAAATCATCATCGCTATTTTAATTTTATTATTTAATGTTATTCTTCGTCAACTTCTAATTGTTCTACGTTTTGGTCATAAAGTAGATGTTCAAAGTATTCTTTCCATCTACGTAATTTTTCTTGAGGTTCAGTTATCATCTACATTTGTTATTATCCCGATTAGTTTGTTACAATTTCCTGAAATCATTTCTTTCACCTTCTTATGGGTGTTGAAAGTGTCATACCTTGCCTCACATTCCTCAATTTATTGACATTTAATGGACATCCATGTTTCCTTAGCTTGTTTTATTTTCTGTTTTATTTGTTTATTAATTTCTTGATATTTAATTTTATCTTTGTTGTTATGTATTCTTCTTTCGTCCATCTTTTCGAGAATTTCTTATGTCATCCATTCTTGTTTGGCAGCTCTTGTAAATGTTAATGTTTTCCGTCCAACAGCCTCTATTGTGTTCTTTATATTATTCCATTTTGTTTTAATATCTGTAGTGTTCTTAGTTCGTTGTTTTATTTCTTGGATACTCTGATTTATTTTATTTCGAGTTTCTTACATTCATATTTGCTACTACCACTACCACTGGGTTGTGGTCCTAGTTTACATCTGCTCCAGGGTAAGTCTTCACTACTGTAATAGAGTTCTTGTACCTGTTCCTTATCAAGATGTAATCTATCTAATTTCTTATAATTCTATCTTTGTTGCCTCCAGGATCTTTCCACGTATAGAGCCGACGATTTGGTAATTTAAACATTGTATTCATAACTACCAGTTCTTTTGTTTGGCACATCTGAATTAGTCTTTCACCACGCTCATTTCGCTCTCCCAATCCATACATTCCAACACAACTCTCCACACTTCATCTGCCCACTTTGGCATCGAAGTCACCCATTAGTATAAGAACTTCACGTCTTTTGGTTGTTTTCATTATTGTTTTCAATTGCTTGTTGAAGTTTTCTATTTCTTGTTCCTCTTTGTCAGCTGTTGGTGCATATACTTGAATAACATTCATTTTCCCCATATTGGTGTTAATTTGTAGCATTATAATGCGATTCGAAAGCGGGGTGAAACAAAGTACGGATTTAACTATTTCCTTGCTTACCATTATGGCCACACCATATCGGTTTGTTCTATCAGAATATCCACTATAATATATAGCTCTGTTTCTAGTCCGTTGTTTTCCAGATAAACATGAAAATCCTAAAGAAGTCCAACTGCAAAAGTTAAAAAGGAAAGAGGTAAATTACTATTTAACTGGGAATAAGCCACAATTAAAGATAAAAATACGTTTATTGACGTTTCAATTTCCACTTTGGAAATCGATAACGATTTACAAAACCGACGTTACAAAATTAATATTTGAAATCTTAATACCTCTAAAATTGTATTAAGTGTTTATTATTTTTTATAAATGTTACTAATTACATAATTAAAAATATCTGATGAGATAAATAATATTTTCATGATTATAAATGTTGAGTGTATAATAAATATGAATAAATTCAACTTTTATTTTTAATTTTTATTATTATTATAAAACTTAACTGATAGTGTATTAGAGTCTTTTGGGATATTGATTTAAATCCAATATTTTAAAAAATAGCCATAACTTAAATGTAAAATAATGAAGCCCACATCTTATACAAAATTGATAGAGAACGGATCTGCAAAGAAACCGAATCAGAAACACTCAGGCATTTAAAAATCTGCTAATACCTATAACATATTTCTTGACAAAAAACCGATTGAAGTAAATAAAAAGATATTAGAGAAGACATGCTTTTCCCGCGAAACCATTCACTAATGTACTTAAAGGTAGGTAAAAACCGGAGAAATAGAAAAATAAAGATAACAGACTAAAGAAAAAACTTGTGATTTCCAGACGATACCATATTTTGCACTTATAATATTAACAAACTGAAAGATATTGTTTCTGACATATAAAGTTCAATGCAACAATTAGTACAAATTAACCTATAAAAAAAGTATTCACGAAGCACCAAGACGTAAAGTTCATTCACAATTATAAAAACTGACTTATACAGAATTTGTATCCCGCTGATAAAGACGAAGCCATAAAGGGATTAGCCTCTTCAGGTAAATAGTAAAAAGGGCCGGATTAACGAATTTTATATTTTATTTGACATTTACATTATATATTTAATTTAAATAAATATCTAGATAATTAAGGGAAACAATACATAAACTTATGGAGTATTAGAATTAATTAATTATTATGTCGATTATTTTTCTGTGTCGATTCTTTATTAAATATATCCAAATTTTAAAAGTAATAATAAAATAATAAAATAGTGAAGTGAAAATTAAAATAAATTAATGTAGGTATATACATATAGGTAGCTGAATATAATTATATTTACTGATATGTCTGAAAAAATTAGTAACAAATGGAAAATTTCTGTATTATTTACTTCATGAACAAATTTTTTTAATAAAAAGTTTGCATTGCATAGAAATCAATAATCAATAATCAAATTTATAAAATTTTAAATGGTATACAGTGAAAATTAAAAATATTGATTTATGCTTATAAGTGAAGTGCTTTTAAATGTAGGTACAGAAAGAAATGTCATTTTAATTTGGTTGTAGGAATTAAAAATTATATTTATTTATTATTATTGAGTTAATGCCTCGACAACTAAGATCATTGGCATGGTACAGTCACAGAATATTAAACAATCAGAATGCCCACTCTCCATGGAAAATTAAGTACGCGCATCTCCTTCGCCGAGACGTTCCGCCATGTTTTAGAGGGAACCAGTGTTGTTTATGTGGTGTACATAGAAAAATTAATCAGGTTTAATTGACTTACGGCAATCATAGACATACAATTATAACATTGTTAAATATAAGAACATAAATATAATATAAATAAACATAAATATAAACAATTACATAACCTCACAAATCATATGTCTGTGTTGTGTTTCCTTCTTAAACATGGCGCGCGTGCTGAAAAACTTCAAAGGCGGCATCTGAGAGTGCACATTCTGATTGTTTATTATTCTGTGGTATAGTTAGGTACCTAGTGTAGTGTGTGTGTGTGTGTGTGTGTGTGTGTGTGTGTGTGTGTGTGTGTGTGTGTGTGTGTGTGTGTGTAGAGTAATTGTCTTGATACTTAGCAAAGTCGACGTCATTGTCTTTGCTAAGAGACGCTAATTGTATCCGAACGTCTGCGGTCCCTCCGGTGAGTACCGATCGCACAAGGATAGAAATTATTTTCATTTATTAATTTGTAATAAACGAAAATTTCTCCACCCAGATGAGATTCGAACTCACGACCTTTAGGTTTAAAAGTAGACGCTCTTACCACTGAGCCACAGACGGGGTTAAAAATTATATTTAAACTAAGATTCATGGCCTTTTAATGATGTGTCAGTAGGTGCATTAATTTTTAACTTTATTTCTAATTTACCTTATTTCATATACAAAATTTTATATTCAATATACAAAAGTACTTTTTATTTACTTTTTACTTTAAATGTAGTATTTAATTATTAGAAGGACATGAATCTAAACTTGGACATCATTTTTAATAAAAAAAAGAATTTATATCTTTGTATGTGGGTATATTTAAAAAAACCCTTAAAAGGGCTACATTGAATAATACAAACAAACGTTTTCAGAATAACAATTCCATCATCAGATTTAAGAAGTACAAGGTTCACATGCCTGAGCCATCAAAATATGAGGGTAAAAACCCTTTAAAATTTGTGTTGTTACAAAATATTGTACATAATGTTATTAAAAATATGTGATGTTTAAATTAAATTTGGCTTCAGGTAACATATACCCATGGTTTGAGTTCCAGTATCCGGAGAGTAAACCTCTTCAAACGGACTACAAATGGACTTGGCGAAATTGCCCTATTATCCTCTGGACTCCAGGGACGCGACATTGTTTTATACAATATAGGTAAATTTTACTTACGTGGATTTACCGGCAAATGTACACACTCTAAATTTAAAAATAAACACTTTTATAAGAATACTTAACTATTCTTTTTTTTGCAGAAACTGAACACTTGTTAAAACTTTAGACTTAAATATTAAAACTTTCGAGCAACCCCGTATACTACACCTCAAGTTAAGTACACCCCTCGAGAGGGGATGCAAGTAGCGGAGGAGAAGTCAGACACAGTCCACGCTCATCTCGAGTCGCAACAACAACATTACGCCAAGGACGCTATTTTTATATTGATCGTTTACAAATATTTTAAATGTGCTATTTTTTACTTCAATACAGTTTTAGTTTAAGTGATTTGTTTTTTTGTATTATTACGTGAAATTCCAATAAGATTCAACCTACACCCCAACAACACTCAAACGACTTTATAAGCAATTCCATCGAAAGCAGGCATTTAAGTGTTAGTTTGTCATCGTATAACTCTCTTCAAATTAAAACATTTAACGATCGATTAATAACAAGTAATAATTTATATAAATTCTAACTAATTTGTTAATAGGTGAATTAAGTTAAACGTTTACATATCATAACTGTATATACGGGTTTGTCAGTTGGAATGTGCTGTTTGAGATATTACCCATTTTTCCAAAATTTATTAATTTCCACGGCTGGTCTAGTCAATTTGACTAAATTAAGATCTTCATAATTTTGGGCATTTTCTTCGTTGAGACTTGAAAATAATGAATAATAAAAAAATACAATAATTATTAGAAATTACGCTTGAATAATAATATTTGATCTGATTATATGTACCTACCTACATTTGACTTGACTATATGCCGGTCCTGGCAGCTTGGGTAGCTGTGATAATTATACAACAATAGAGTATTTACAAGGGATTATTCAGTTTTACAGCTGTTATTAAACTAACTGTTATAATGAGACACTAAATTTCTGGATACAGTATGCGGTATATCTATCAACATTAGCATAAACAAACAGATTATAAGCAAAACTCGATTTCTATCAATCAGAAGAACAGGCAGGATTTCAAGCGGGACACGGAACAAACGACCATTTGCAATACCTTAAAACTCTAGTTGAAAAGTCTATCAAATATAACAGATCCCTTGCTCTAATCTTTGTCGACTTCCACAAAGCATTTGACACAGTCGAAACAGTTGCTATCTTAAAAGCACTATCAGAATGCAGAATAGATCACATGTATGCAAATATTATTCAAAATATATACGAAAATGCGACAACAACCGTTAACCTCCATTGCATGACTGAGAAGATAAAAATTGGCAGAGGGGTGTGGCAGGGAGATACCTTGTCGCCAAAACTATTTATAACAGTTATGGAGTACGCATTTAAATGGCTAGAGTGAGAATCAAAGGGTATTAGCATCGATGGAAAGATATTCAATCATCTCAGATATGCCGATGATATTGTTTTCATAACAGACAACTTAGGAGAAGCCAGAGTTCTGCTACAACAACTACAGCAAGTAACCCAGAAAGTCGGTTTAAAGATAAACTATGGAAAAACAAAAATTATGACCAACCTCGTCCCCAATGAGCTAATAGAAATCGAAAAGTCGCCCATAGAACTTGTGGAAAAATATGTGTATTTGGGTCACAAAATAAGGTTAACGCGAGATAACCAAACATGCGAGCTATTCAGAAGAGTAAGTCTGGGTTGGACTGCATTCGGAAAAATGAGATCCGTATTTAAAACAAATATACCGATCCATTTAAAAAGAAAAGCTTTTAATCAGTGCGTTCTACCAGTCCTCACATACGGAGCAGAAACCTTAACTCTCACAAAAACATCAGCCGAAAAATTGAGAAGGACACAACGAAAGATGGAGAGATCAATACTTGGAATAAGCTTAAGAAATAGAATAAGGAACGAGGAAGTTCGCAGACGAACCGGAGTAGAAGACATTACGGAACATATTACAAGGCAAAAACGGAGATGGGCAGGACATGTTGCAAGAATGAAAGACGACAGTTGGACAAAAAAATTGCTTGAGTGGAGACCACGGGCTGGCAAGCGAAGCCGAGTAAGACCCCCAACGCGATGGATCGACGACCTCAAAAGAATCGTGACCAATTGGATAGCAGAGGCGCAGTACAGAAGCAGATGGAAAAATCTAGAGAAGGCCTATGTTCAACAATGGACAACTCAGGGATGATTGATGAAACCATGGAAGAACAATTAATTTTAGAGTCACCTTAGATTAGGGAATTTTACTCGTCACTTGTTTGACTAGTAAAATTCCCTACTCTAAGAGAGTCACAGAATACGTTATATATTTCAAATATATGGTCAAAACTCACACTATAGAAGCCTACACAAGAAGAAGAAACCAAAATAAAGAATAAAATTGTTTGTACAGTGTTCGGCGGGCTTAAATTATACTTTAGTGACTGTTTTACACAACAACAAAAATAAAAGTGTTTACACAATGACCTCTCTTCACTATAATCGATGATTACTAAACTCTCTTACCTAGCTAGAACATAAAAATAAACAGAAAAACTAAAAGACATATGATCAGAATAAAGCTGAGACACAGAAAAACAAATACGTAGAATTGCAGTAAGACGAGATTTCAAGATCTAATAAATTACATAGCTAACTTAAAGAAGAAATGGGCAGAACACTAATCGGGAGATAATGACGAAAAATGGAGTAGCTAAGCAACTATCAGCAGGGAACACAAAAAGAGGGAGAAATGACATAACCAATTAAAAATTCTTGTCACTTAATCTTGTTTATCCTAATTAATAATATTAGTATTAATTTTAGTAATAAAAAAATATTTACCTTATTTATTATTTGGTATGAAACCAAAGCGATAAAAATAACAAGCTGAGCTACTAATGTCATATTTTCAGATAATCATTATTATTGAGTAAAATAGATATTATATATTAAATCGTTTAATAAATTTTTTGTTTACTTTTAGATAAAGTTATCAACATTTTTTGTCACATATCAATCACTTAACAATCAGGTTAAAAAATTATACACTCAAAATTTTTCTTGATATGAAAACAAGGGAATTTTCCTTTATCGCAAAATTATACGATCCACTCGGCTTAGTCAGTCCATGCACTCTAATGACAAATATTTTGATGCAAAGAATGTAATGCAAAAAAGTCGATTAAGACGAAAAGTTATCTATATCACAACCAATGGATTCAATTTAAAGAATATTTAAATTATTTGAGAAAATTGGAAATACTTGTGTATGCAATAGATCCTAATAGTGAAACAGTTAAAATACACCGGTTTTTCGATGCTTCTTAACATGCATATGGGACTTTTTTTCATAAAACTGTTAGCAGTATTGGACCATCAAATATTCGATTCATATGCGATAAATCAAAGGTGTCTCCAATCAAATCATTAAGCATTCCACGTCTTGATCTCTGAAGATATTTAATTATTCTCCTGTCCAATCACCAAGATCACAAATTTTATTGATATAATATGTAATCGCTTTTAGGTGGTGAGACTCTACTGCCACGTTAGCCGTGATTAATACCAGTCGCTATAATTTACAAATCTTCGTATCAAATAGAGTCTCTGAAAAGTCTCTCCCTATCTCAGAACTTTATGCTATATATGGAAATATGTTGTTTCTCATGACAACCCTGTAGAGAAGCTTATTCCCAAAAACTTTTGAATTTTTCTTATGATAGACAAAACTCTCATAGTAATATCAAAGTGAGAGGGATTGAATCCCTTAGTAGCCATTGTACCCGAGCAATGGCATTGAACCCAAGAAATTGGTTGGTTTTAATTCAAAAAATTCTCTTAATATTATCATTAATTAAGAACATACGATATGTCTTTAGAATAAAAACTAACTTTTCTTTTAGCAGTTTCATGAAAATTGGATTGTTTATTGTGAATGATATCATTGAAGCTCGTTAGAACCTAATAAAACTATCTCAGCACTACTCATTGCAAAACGCATAAACTTTTATCAAATAGTAAGCATATTAGCTCCAAAAAAAAAACTATTTTCTTTGAAACCTACTACCCTTAAAAAACTATTTTCTTGATGAATAAAGAACGTACGTATAGAGACAGTACTGGCCAATTCAGATTTTCCATAGCCCCTGATATCTAAGCCTCATATGACGAAATTATTTCAACATAAACAGTATATTCTGATAGCAGAACAAATTTTGTGGGTTCTATTGCCGAGCTGAGGAAGTTCCTAAATCTAATAAAGACTAGTGTACAGTTGGAAGACAAATTTCGTTTAAAACGATGCCCAAAGGATAGTTACTTAACTTTTAAGGAATTTTCGATCGCTAGTAGAACCTGTACTAAACTCTCCTCCAAATGGCTTATATAGTTCACTCGGTTCACGGCGGTTAACTTTTTAAATCTTACAGAAAATAGTTAAAAGTAAATTCACCAGGCCACATTTCTTAAAAAAGATGTTTAAAAAGATGTTTTAAAGATGTTTTAAAAGTTCTTAAAAATTTCTTAAAAAAGTAGGCAGTGTGTAGAAACAACCATGAAAATGATCAAAAATATTGTTAAACCGGCAAAAATTAGCAAATGGTGTTAAGTGGAAGGCAATGGGTGTTTTGGTGAAAAACCCTTGAAGTTGTTACACAGCAAAATTAAACTGAGTGGCATTGAAACTCTTATTGTACAGGATGCACATGTAAATAGCAAAAATGTTTATATTGGCAGAAAATACGTTATTTCCAAAGTAAGTGCAGAAAGTGTAGCGTGCTAAAAGTTTTTTTAACTATGAAATATTAATGTATAAAATTTTCCAGTACGCCCCTGGACCAAGAACTTTCGTTAAAATGTTAAATATATTACGCCTTGAGTTTTATGTTCCTAAAATCAAGTCAAAAAATATTGCAAGTCTTGTGTTCATTTTTCTAAGACGCAGTAACGCCGGAAGTAGATCCAAGGTTATTTTCACAATTCGTAATTTTAACAAATTTGAATTGCTTCCTTTGCGTGTACGGGTATGTAGGAGACGCAAGGGGGAAGTGCCGCTACGTGAGAGTTCGATAAAATGTCGCACTTCAGGTTGTAAGATTTGCTCCAAGGGAACATTTCGTTGATATGTGGTGATACAAAAGCCGGTATAATTTGCCGAAAAAAAGTGGAATTTTACTCTATGTAATATGTCGAAATTGGAAAAGTAACCACTCGTTTCGATGTTCTAAGATTTCAGCCGGAAGATATCTAACCCCTTTTTCAATTTATTAGACTTACTTTTATTAACTTTTCACCATACGAGCAGTCTTAAACAATGTCATTTAAATACGAGGTCTTATATTAGCTTTAAATATATACTATTCAATTTTACCTTGTCCTAGATGTGATAAACATAAAAGGACATTTTCAGATTACACTTTTCAGACCACACTCCATACGACAAAGAGTAACATGGTTGCCTAATGCACACGTCATTCTCTTTAACATGACCTTTAACACCATTGGTAATTTCACATCTTTTATATCCAAAATTAAATAAATAAAAAAAGTTTTTAAATCCCAACACCTGGATTGCTGTTATTATTTTTTAACGTCATCAAAATTTTTTTTAATATTTTGGCTGTAGTAATAATATGTATAACTAATATAGTTTTATGTTACATTGACATTTTGTTTTCGACACCGTTTATAGGTATTTTGTCAATCAGTTACCAGCTGTAGTCCGTCTGAAGAGGTTTACTCTCCGGACACTGGAACTCATTCAAACCATGGGTGTATGTTACCTGAAGCCGAATCTAACTTAATATCAAACATCACATATTTAAAACAACATTATGTACAATCTTTTATAACTACATTTATTTTTAAGGGTTTTTACCCAAATATTTTGGTGGCTCAGGCATGTCAATCTAGTAAGCATAACCATTTTTGCTTTTTTAACCTTAGTCAAAATTTTAACCACGTTTTCTTTAACTAAATGGTTTATACTTATTTTAGGTGTTTTTTAAACCTGATGATGGAATTGTCATTCCAAAAACGTTCGTGTGTTTTTTTTCTGTAGCCCTTTTAAGGGTTTTTACATATACCAAATTACAAAGATTAACCTCTTTTTTTGTGATACGTGGTATACAGCCAGCTACAGGAATTATTTTCCTTGTGGATTTTTTTTCTAAGATTTGTGTTAACATCTAAAAAGTAAATAAGATGGTTCCCGTTTTCAAGGTTTGCCTAAGTGCCCTCTTCAACCTCGCTCAATTGTTCCTGTTTTGTTCCTGAACTAGTTTTTATTTGATAGTGTGGCAGAGACCTCGTGTGTGAGATTTGTGTGATTCAACCCCAGTTCTAATTGCAGGAATTTTAGATATTCAGTTTCAAACCCCAGAAATCTCTTAAAGTGTGATCTAGTGAAATAAAGGTAACATTTGGTGTTTAATTTTCAAACTAAAGTATATTTTTTTTAATGCCACAGTTATAAATAGCCTAATAACAGTTTTGTAAGATTTACAGAAATTCCCACTTGTGAGTTTGTAAACAGATAGGATATATGTAAGTTTTGTGTTATTTTGGTATAAACCCATGAAATTATAAATATCATAATTACTTCTGATTATCTGTATATGTATACTGTTTGTTTGAGACAAAAATAAATGTTTATTTTATTTCTCTGAACTATTTTGTTTACTTTATTTTAGAATAATCTCCCAACCCCTTGCTGTGTTTTTTTAATTTAGGGTGATTTTTCCTAAATCCAGCAATCTTAGGATTCTTCGAAGCGACGTCCTTTGTTTCATAAATAGCTTTTTCTTGTTGTCTCTCTTTGCCCATTTGTCCAGGAGATTTATGTAAGTACCCCTTTGTTTAATTTTTTTGGTAGTTGCCCCAATCCGACCCCTTGTCATTCAACTTCCTCAACTCCAGCTCTCCAATTAACCCCTGAGTGCCATCCGCATAAGTACCGATTTGTTTTGCATGCCCTATATCGACCCCCGTAGTTTCTGTCCCCAATTTTCAACCCCCCATAAAATACCCTATGGTAGGCAAAATATTATTCGTTACAAAAGTACATGACTCATTGAACTCCGTAAGAGTGACAACCGTTCAAAAAGAACAATTTTTATTAAAAAATGATCCGATACAAAAATTTGTTGCTTTTTCTTGTGTATCCAGCAATTTATGTTAATGGAACTTTTAAATACTGCGCACAATATTTAACTTGCATTGCAAAATGGCAACGAAATAATAGAGAGCTCAAAGAAGGGCTTCTGGTTCATATACAGAATGATGCTTCACCTCCAGCCAAAAGGAACTTACGTCGAATTATTCTCAAGATTGGTAAGGATTCTCAAGATATTCAACATGTTGTGGAACTTAAAGTGAAGAATGTTTTCGTCACCAGTTCCTTCTTCAAGTTGTGTCCACTTCCTGTTTCTTGTTTAAAAACAGGAAACTTTCAAGACTGGAGCATATCCATGCGTACGCTACGCCTATGTTCTGGGACCAGCTTCACGCTCTACAAGACCTCCGACGAGACAGGTTATGCAGAACTGTTTGTAATATTAATGTTTTTTTTTTAATATTTATTTTGTAACAATGCGATAATACAATACTATATAGTCCACCAAAAATTATTTTACGAAACACAATATAATCCAATATCCACTAGGAAACTAAGTTCCTGTAGCTGGCTGTATACTATACCTATATCACAAAAACTTTTATTTCAAATCCTTTGTAAAAGGTGTATAATAAAGTGCCCAAACGGGCTATCACAATTACATTACAGAACGTTTTCGGAATGTTAATTCCATCATCAGTGTAAACCTGAAAGTATATAACCACTTTAATTTAAAAAACGTTGAATTTAAAATGTTGACCAAGGTTAAAGCAAAATGTGGTTAATACTTACGGGGTATACATG